CCGGCGGCAAGCACTTGGGTCCGACATGACACCCTAGAAACACCAAAGGAAAGCACGCAAATGATGCAAACGGTGCCATCGTAATTCCAAAGACGCAGATGTACGTATCATGTCGTAGCGGACATCAACGGGTCACATCGTTTTGTTGCACTGTTTGGATGACGCAAGGGCCCACAATGACTCGGAACTCTCGCCCACTCACCACGAAGTTGCGCCATCAAACGAGGCGAGCATTAGGGCCGCCCGAAAGCAACGCCACGGGGTATTTGAGAAGGAGGAAGAAAGAGTTTGAAGAGAATGTCCATGTTCAAAAGCGTTCTCAAGAGATATGATATGATGACAGAGGATGTCATGATATTGATGTGAGTGATGTGATGCATCATGTGTGTTTGGTGTGGATGTTGAACACCTGCATCTACACACTTGTAGCCTGTACTTCGGTATTTGTTCTGCTTTTATCCCTGTATCCTCACTTTCATGCACACCTGTATCTACGACTATACACCTTCACCACAATGCGTTTGCTTGCGAAAATGCTTTTGTAGAAGTTTTGTTCACACCGGTCATGGCAAGTATCTGTACACCATTCAACTGCAGAATTCCGGCACGTTTGGACGCCATGTCTTCATCGGAGACCTTCTTTTCGACCCGCGTGTTGGAAGAAGAGACAGAGCAGCCAGATAATTTAACCAAAAAGTAAACATATTTTTTTCACCACCTGTCAGGTGAGGGTTGTGAGATGTTAGAAGAGGACCCCGCAGCTTCTGAAAGTTTCTCTTCCTCTTGTCCTTCTCCTCGCCTCATAACAGCAAACGGCAGAACGCAGTGGGCAGTACCGGACCTCAACAGGAAGTGTCAGATCGCACTGGACACGACCGGGCCCCAACAGCAAGTGCCAGATTGCACTGGACACTGCCGGACCTCAACAGCAAGTGCCAGATCGCCGTGGGCACTACCGGACCTCAACAGCAAGCGCCAGATCGCAGTAGGCACGCAACAGGCACTGCCGGTCTCAACAATAAACTTCACATCGCAGTGGTCGCCGCGGGACTTCGCTAAATAGAGCGCCAGAACGTATGCCACATAGAATCATACGCCGAGTGGAACCCTAGGGTATATGCCAGTTCGAACGCCAAGAAGTCAATGCCAAGTAAAGTGCCAACCATTCCGCCTTTGTTAGGCTAGTCTGTCAAAACATGTCCGTTGCCCGCTTGACTCCCCTCGAACAATCCATTGCGTCCGCGACAGCTGAAAGTAGACGGTAGCCGTGACAGGCTTATGTGCCCGAAGGGTTTCTGTCGGTGAAGTGGGTTTGTGATATGCGCCCTGACCAGCTCAATATCGACGTCAGTCGAAGCGCATCGAATGAAACGTGTCCGCAAGTCATCAACCCACAATTGCCAGAAAGCGCTCGTGGGATGCAATGTTTGTTTGACGCTTCACACGTGAGGAACATGAACCTTCAACGCTTCAAACATGTTACGAAAGCCAGCCTTCGTAAAAGGCCAGCGGAGTTGTGTTTGGCGAACGAAGTGAGTAGTTAGGGGGTCTGGGGAGGGTGGCCCGCAAAAGGTACACGTAAACTCGGCACATGCTGGGGGAGGAGGGTGCGTCGAGGAAGGGTTTTTTTAAAATAAAGGTTGTGTTGGAGGTGACTTTTGAGGGGTGGTGATGCAAAAAATGCAAGTTGCATCATTTGCATTATTTGAATGGAAAGGTGTAGTTGGCACCTTGCCAGGTATAGAGCCCCAGGGTAGCTATAGTGCAGTTACCAGGTATAGTACTTCAAATTCCCTTTTCGTCAACCGCTCGATAACCTCTACACACGCACAGCGCGCGATACCTGGGAACAGAATTGTAGCTACCGTGGGTCCGTATGAATGCTATGTTGCTATACCTCTTACACACCTATACCAGTTCAAAGCACGAATGAGACTTCATAGCTGTGGCTTGCTGTGCATGTGTGGCTCGAGAAAGATATACGTAAACGCTGGAAGGTGATGCTTTGATGCTTTTGGAGCGGGTGGTGACGCACTCGCCAACAAGAACATATACCCTTCAATAGGAACTCGAACAGCTCAAATCCAGAAGGTTCTGAAAATGGCCTGGTTCCTATATGAAGCCTGGGAAGACTGGGAAGCGAGGACTCGCTTCGCAGACCTTCATTTTCAAGGTGGCCTGAACAGAGTGTTTTAGGGCAGCAAACCCTGGTCTCAGGCCACCTTGAATTTAGCTTGAAAACCACAGCTTTGAAGCCTCATGCGCGCGATACCTGGGAACAGAATTGTAGCGACCCTGGGTCCGTATAAATGCTATGTTGCTATACCTCTTACACACGTATACAAGTTCAAAGCAGGAATGAGACTTCAAAGCAGTGCTTTGCTGTGGATGTGTGGCTCGAGACAGATATGCGTAAACTCTGGGGTGTGATGCTTTGATGCTTTTGGAGCGGGTGGTGACGCACTCGCCAACTATACCCTTCAATAGGAACTCGAACAGCTCAAATCCAGAAGATTCTGAAAATGGGCTGGTTCCCTAGATGAACCCCGGAAGACTGGGAAGCGAAGAGGTGGAAACAGCTGGGAGGTCTTGAACTTTTAAGTAAACAAAAGGCCACATTCAAGCAGCAGAAGGACAATGTGCATCCTCTGCTCTCGCTTCGCAGACCTTCATTTTTAAGGTTGCCTTGACAGAGTGTTTTAGGGCAGCAAACCCTGGTCTCAGGCCACCTTGAATTTAGCTTGAAAAACGGTCTGTTTTAAGGAAAGCCTTGTCACAGAGACACCTCAGGACCCTTGCTTCGCATATCTTCATTTGTGAGGTCGCCTGAACATATAGTGTCCCAGGCCCCCTCGAATTTTGGTGCATTGTTTGGCTTTTGCTTCATCTGAATGTGGATGGGAATTATATGTGTGAAGTCGGTCGGGGGTCGGGGGGGGTGGCCCGAGAAGGTATACGTAAACTCTTGGAGGTGATGTTTTAGTGATTTTGGAGCGGGTGGGGATGCAAGAGTGCATTTTTTTGCTTTTGCATGGTTACCTATGTGTGGGCAGAACAAGACATGAAGCAGATTCGACACGCGGCCGCAAGCGGCTGCGCGAGTTCATTTGATTGCTTCGACGCGCAGTTGTCGAGAAAGGGAAGCGCTGGCTTTCGTTTTGCAGCTTCTCAGGTTCAGTTTGGTACGAAACGGTTGGAACATAAGTTCTTCCAGACATGCGGCGCCGCAATCAATGACGTGAACGAACATCAGCGCAACTCACCTACATGTCTGGTGTTGAGGCGACGGGTTGGCCGCGCACGGCGCTGGTGTATACTGTTCATGCGGTTTGTGCGTGTCGGACAGGTGAGAGGTTTCAATGAGGGTTTGTCTTGGGGAGCGTGAAGCTTGCCGTCAATGGTCTGCGAATTGTGCTCCTGGAAACCCAGCGTGTCGTTGATGAGCCGGCCAAGTGGCGGTTCGATGCTGTACCAGAACCTAGGCCGGATCGGTTGCCCACACGATGCCGAACTGTCTTTGGGACCACTGAAAAAATTCGATTGTGCATCCTGTGCAGAAAGACTTACATTGAATCCGTTCAATATGTTCCATGAACGTGAACTCATCAACCCGCCAGGATGCTTCAAGGTCCGTAATTGCGATCCTTGACTTTGCGCAAGCCACGGTCTTAACAGAAATGACTCAATGACATGATGAATGTTCATGTTCAACTCGGTACGCTTCTTGGATTCGCTTGCAGTAGTAATGCCAACCGTCCGTTGCTCAACGGGACGTTGAGGGCGCGGTGCACCGGCACGTGCTGCTCCACTGACCCCATTTGTGGTATCAACTATCAGGTTGCGATCTTTGGCAGCAAACTTGGTCCCCTGGGTGTCTCGCAGTCCTCAACACCCTCGCTTGCGGCTAAACCAAACGCCTGCCCGATGGTGCAGACCCTGCCCCCTTTTTAGGTCCTGATTGGGTCGCTTGAGCCCCAAGTCCCAACTTTTAGGTGTCATGAGTCATGAGTCATGTTTGTCATTTGTTGGACGTGTTTATGCGCAAGCAGGCTGAGTTTGGGTGGCTTTAATACTGGCCAACTTCCAGATGTGCTCAAGGATCTCAAAGTAAGACGGTTTTTATACTGGCCAACCTCCAGATATGCACAGTCCAAGGTGTACTAGTTGGGGGGTTGGGGAGGAGGGAAACGGCAGGCAGTGAGGAGGTCGCGGAAGTGAGGTTCTGGGCCTTCGATGTCTGTGTGGGGTTGGACGCGGGGAGGTGAAGGAGGCTGGAAGCAAACGCTCGCATCGCAGCCGTGGAGAGGTGGGCCGCCCACCGAGACATCCAAGCATGGTGAGCGGCAGAGCGAAGGATGGCTGGTAGCGCCTGGGGTTTGGACCGGGCGAGTGAGCCAATGAAGGCAGCCCAAGACATTTTGGGCCATGTTCTGGTCCAGGTGCCCTTGTGCTGAGCTCGGTGTTTTCATACTTGTGACCCTGTGGCGTTCAACGCTTGAAATGCTATGGCATTATTATATGTTTTACACAACCCATCCCGGCAACTCAACGAATGTTCTTGAGACCAACGCAATACCGGACGGTGCCGCCAGCCGATTTTGAGTTGTCGCACCGCCCGAATCATTCTGACAAACATGCCCAACATGTTGTGATGGCAGGCTGCGGCAGGCTCATCAAAAGATGCAACGCGCACGGGGGAACCGCTCACTCTGTCACCGAGTCGCTCAGGCACTCACTCTGCCAGTTGTTGACGTACGTCCTTTCACTTCTGACGCCTACCTCGTTCCTGCCGTCTCCCCTATCAATCGTTTTAGCCGAGAATTTGCCCCCATCAAGGGCTCCATCGGTCTGTTTGACAACCGGCACGCCACAAGGTCATCAAGAGAATTGTTTTCCGAATCCCAGCAACATGCGAAAACGGTTTCAATCACTCTCCCACCTTCCATCCTCACAACAGACCGCGTGCGAAGACGACGGACGCATCCGTTTGAGGCCCGGCGATGTCGGCAGCCGTTTGCCAGGAAAACATCCGGAAGTTAGGGGCCCCAGCCGGAATCTTCTGGTTGAACTATGGCGGCAATGTTCCCCCAAAAAACTGGTCCCAAATCCAAACCTATAGGGAAAACGGTCTGTGTTGTTGAGTTGGTGGGGCCGCGGGTTTGTAAAATATATTTGGCAGGGGTTGCGCTTTGCCATCCGCCGTCGGCTTAAAACATTTTCCAATGACTGCAGGTGTAACGTCAGGAAAGCATCGCTGGCAGGCTCTAGCGTGCACGTCTTCAAGGCTTGTGTGACAGTTCATCAAATGTGAAGATGACACCACAGTAGCTGGCCCCTTGCAAAGCCGCCGTGCCCTGCTCCCAGGTGTGACGTGAAATGCCGATGGCGTGTTCGCGTGGTCAGAGGCAGGGCGGAACAATTTGTTTTGGAGGGTGAGGCCCGCCCCCGCCTGAAAGGAGGTGCCTATCTATAAACAAGTATGTCTGACAGTGCGTTTAACTGACATTTCCCTTGTATGCTGTCAGTGACAGGCATCTGCACCGAAAAACAAGAAACCGACACGTTGAGATGTACCAGTTTTTAGAACCAGTTTCAGGACTTGTGTTGGGAAATTTGTCTCAATTGATCTCCCTCCGTCATCCTCCGTCCAGCAGCCGGTTAACGTAAAGTGAGGGACAGAGGTTAAACTGTGCATCTTTCACATCCCAGGATGATTGGGTGAGCTGGATAGTCAAAATCAGTGTTCGTGGTTTTTGTATTGTCATTTGCTTGGACGGTGGGCGCTGTTACCAACCTGACGTTGGTGGCTGTTCCATTCTGGGTGGAGTTAAATGGTGGTTCGAATTGGGTGTTTTGCAACATGTAGGATTCCTCTTTGGGATGTTTGCTAACAAAATTTTTTCTGCCTATCTGTTTTTACTTTTTGTCTCGGGTGTTTGGCAGTGTTTGAGATCGAAACTTTCCAACCCAAATTGCAACATACAGAGGTGTTGTTGAGCAGTTGGCAGCGTTCTTGGAGACAATATCACGAAAGGTAGCCTGGTAAAGACTACCTTGAGTTTGCTTTGCGAAGCAAAGGGACTGGCTTGAGAGCTTGCTCGGGACTAAAGATTGGTAGATCAATGTCTAACACCCCCACCCCCCCTCCCCCCCCCCCATGCAAATGATTGATTGATAAATCCCTCCTTACCCCCCCCCCCCCCCTCCCCTCCACTCCCCTCCCCGTCCCCTCCCCTCGTCGCCAGCACTACTAAAGTCTGGACATAAGGTGAAGTCATGCGCTTAACAGTCACAGCAGTGCGACGCTGGCCATGAGGTTGCGCAATACAGCACGAACCCTGCGCAATGAGGTCGCGCAATGCAGCTTCGATGCCACGCGTGCGCACCCGGCAGCCTGACACAGCGCGTACTGCGTTCACAGACCATTTGCTCGACACCAACGAGCATCGATGCAACACAGCCTCTCTGCAAAGCCCTGTGGAGAAAACCCTCGTATACCCTAGCGTGGCGAAATCTTACCGCATCGTGGAGCACACCCACCATAGCGTGACGTCCATCCCTGGCAGTACCGGCCGCACCCCTCCAGCACTATCCTTACAAGGGGGTTGGTCACTGAGTCACTGCGGCTTCGACGCAACGCGTGCAGGCCTGTAATCCTGACACAGTGCGTGCAGCTGTGGGACCATAGCTGGTACACATGCGAGCGTTTACGCATTGCGACTTTTACGCGCGCCTGTTTTCACACCTAGACACAAACGAGCGTCGACGCAACCCAGCCTCTCTGCAGAGCCGTGTGGCGCAATCTGACCGCAACGGTGTTCCTCTTGAGCCTTCTTATGCCTTTTTGTACTCTCTGGCTTTGTTGGTTTCATCCATGATTGACCACGGGGCACGTTCCTGAAACACCGGAGACAGTCCCTCACCAGAAACGGTCCCGACAGCTACTCGGTCCGTCTCTACCTTTCGTGTTTCCCCGCTCAAGTTTGTCAAATTCAGTCGCTTTAAAGAGCGCCAGGATGACGAAACGAGAATCGTAAAAACTTGTTCAAATTAGCTACCAGCAACTGAGCACCTGATTGATTTTCAACGTTTACAAGACAACCGATGCGACTTGATACACTCGGCGCACTCATTGAACCTGAAGAAGCTCTTGCACCCGACCGTGACCTCAGCGAGGAGGCCCATGCCTTCCGGGCCCGACCGTTACAGGCTCGGAGGGACGTTTGCGACTGGGTTTGTGGCAAGGATGAAGTGACGAGTGAGTTCCAATCACTCGAATCACCTTCGGCGTTGCTCGATCAGCCACTAACAGGTCCAAGTTGGTCCAAGTGCCCCCATTGCCTCACCAAGATGGACACGATGGACATTTTGTCAGGTTGACCCTGTAGAGGGCCCAAAGTAGATAGGAAAATCGATCCTCCCAAAAATGCGTGCAGTACTTGGAGATCACGGATCACTATACTCAATGATGTTTTTCTGACCCCAGCTGCGCATAATTAGGTAGAGTAAGAGTATGGAAGCATCGCTTTGGTGGTGCTTTGTCCCCACGGTTTGTGTTTTCTTTTTGTGGGGGCGGGCTGCAGTGACCGAAATGCCACTTGGACTTCCAGCAGGTTCCAACGTTTTCGAAGAGGCGTGTGGCTTTAGGGTTGCCGAACCCCCAGGCCAGCGACTCCCGTGCATGCCGACGTCCAAAATTCATGGCCAAGCTTGGCCTAGCCTCGAGGTGAAGGTTGCGAACCTGTCGTGGGTTGGTTGCCAAGCTCGAAGTCGGATCCGCAACGTGCGATCCTCCAAAATGTCGAGCGACCATCCGTGCCGAGGTTCCGAAGCCGTGGCCATGGGGCCGCGGGCCGAGGTGCTTTCAGATTGTGGTAGCGGTTTGCAGAGGAGAGCTATTGCCTTGATTCGCGGAAAATACTCGAAATTGATTTATCTTTCCCAAACTGGGTGCACCCCCCCACACCATGGGGATTTTATTTGGTTTCCTGGACCAAAGCCAAACAGTTTTCCAGATCCATGGAGCGCCCTGGCCACACCGTTGATTTTTTTTAGATTTTCTTCGGCGACTCGCCAAGCAAAAACATGTTCACACCAACCATGGCCACTGATCTGCCATTGATCTGCCGCTGCTCGGCCATTTTCGGCTCAAATTGAAGTGCCATTCCCATATCCGTACTACTGTACGGTTCATGAAACGAGACCGAACTCGATGACAAGTCTGTGGTTCCTGTACGGCTTTCTAGTCGCTTGCGTTCAGAGCGAGACGTGTGAGACCACCAGCTTGCTGCAGTTCAACCCAGGTGATGCAATCGCCAAAAATGACAGCCACCACAGCAAAATGACAGCCAAGTCGGAAGCGGCCGTGCCTGCAGAAAATACCAGGACTAGTGTTTTCCAATGTTTTCCATGGAGTTCTTGTTGGAGTATCTAGACTGCGCAAGTAGTTACAAACAACCACCACTAGATGTTCAATCTATGAACACATCATTCTACTACTACCTGCTATTACAACAACTGGTGCTGCTATTACTACTAGTGCTACTACCACGATCACTACCACAATGGAAATATTCAGAAATTTGCCTTTGCAAGGATTTTAAGGGCTAAACACAACAAAATACAAGATGCTAGGGTTCTGCTGTGGGTACTCACGTTCATCCGCTGGTTGTGTTTTGTATTCGGCAAGAGCCCAAAAACGGTGCAACATTTCATATCCTTGGGTTATTTCCCCGACAATGTGGTCGAACCCTGTCAAGGAGAAGCCCGTTATTTCTGCCAGAGTTCGGTATGAACGCAGACTTTCTCAACAATCAATACGATCAAGGCTCGTCGATCTCTTTGTCTCAAGTTGCCGTCGCAGACGGCGACACCAGCGAGAAGACCTGGTTCGCGGTCTATGGATTGGTGGCCGGCTCCCTAGCGAGTCCTTTTCCATTTCAATGATCTCGTTCCGTCACTGAGGTTAGCCTGATGAGCTTACGGCCTGGGAGATTAACATGGAACCGGAAAACCACTGGGTTGTATAGAGGACAATAGACAATAGCCTTCCTAAATGTTCGGGTTCCATGTTAATATTCCCGGGTTTAGCAATTGTTTTCAGTTTCGTGCCGAGGCTCTGATCCTGATAGCTATCAGCCCTATTGCATACCACGAGGGCGTTTCAGCTTTCGTTTTGCTCGTTTCCTACCTGTCGGCCGTGACCTTGGTCAAGGCACCGGGAAACAAAGAACAGACGCCCTGGGCATTCAAGGGATACACACGGAATTGGAAGGGCTCGTTCGGACGTGACCCAGACACGACACTGCCGCCCCAAAAAAGACCCCCCAAAACTACTCCAAGTGATCGGCATATATGGCAGTCCCATGGAGTGTTTGGGCATGCGATCAGTTAGCCGCTCGACAGGTCTTTGTGAAACAGAGCATCGATCTCGGCTACCCGTTTCCCAACACGATCACCGCGATGCACATGCTCGCCGTGTGCATTGTGACCTTGATCTTCGAACGGCCAAGCATGGATGAAGCCTTGAAGGTGTTGCCCATCTCCGTGTTGAACGGCCTCTCATTGCTCACAAACAACTCGGCATTCCTCTATGGTGGGGTAGCATTTGTCTCCATGATTGCAGCGAACGTTCCTTTCATGACCTTCTCACTGGAGCTTCTGAAAGGAAAGCCACTTTGGTATGAAAAAACGTCACCAACGTGTTCTGATGTTCTCTTCTTTAAGCCCTCACAGTGCACGCATCACCTCGCGAGCATGTGCACGACCTAAGGCGTTCTCTCAACTTTGCCTCAGCCTTCTCCGTGGGGCTGGTGTGCGCTGGTAGTGTTTGCTGCGTCCAGGGTGAGGTGAATGTCTCCCTTGCCGCCTTCGTTTTGGCCACCGTCAGCGCCCTCTTGCGGGCAGCACGCGGTGTGTGGCAGCATGAGTTGGTCTCCGTGAGCCTCTCTCCCTTGCGCTTGGTCTTTTGGAATGGATTTTGGTCTGGCTGCATCACCTTGGTGATTCTCGGGCCAAATCGGAATGGGATCCTGAATGGTCCTGCAATGTCCTCCATTTGTTTGTGTCTCGTTTTGTTTGTGATCCAACGATCCTTTGTGACACCTCCCGAACTGCTTGTCCTCCGCCCCAGCATGTCCTCCCAACTGTTCAGGATGATGGCGGCCTCCAAGGAAGGCTTGGAAGGTTTGAGGAGCCTGCGGACTGTCAGTACCCTGGCTTTGGCGGGTCTTCGGCGATGCGTTCTCTTTTTTGTTTTCCTTCTTTTCCCCCGCCAGACGCTCCAAACAGCCCGACTGGTCCATCAAAACCAGAGGGATTGGTTCGGGTCCAGGCCCCTGCAGAGGTTTGATGTTCCAGGAGCGTTTGGGCCATACACGTGGTCCCTCAGCCAGTCGTCCATCCCCGGGTCACCCGTTGGTTTGATGTTCCAGGACTTTGGGAGCCACCGAGTCGAGTGCCAGCAGAATCCAAGGTACCAATGCTCAAATTGGACTCTTGAGTTCCATCGTGGCAGCCGTGTGTCTCAACATCACACAGTGGTACGCCATGAAGGCGGTGGGTGCTTTGATGGCAAGCACCTTGACAAGCCAAGCAAGCGGCAGCGCGCGGAGTTCTTCCTTTTTTTCAGAAAAGAACGTTATACGGGCGCGTGTGTTTTCCAGTGTTCTTGAAGCTCCTTGTTTTAGTAGTGTCTTATGGCGGTGTTTGCGTTTTAAATGCGCACATGTCAAACCATCTTCTGGAACTCCAGTGCTGACAGACAGAGTTCCTTCTGGATGTCACTCCAGTTGGAACAGACACAGGCATTATCGGCAACTTGAATCTTATCCTTGTGATTGCTTTGTCGATCGCGTGGCTGCATGAGCAAGTCACGCCTTGGCAGTTCCTCGTCATGCAGTAAGACGTCCCGCATGGTGAGAGTCAGTTTTTAAAAGTCCCAAGATTTCGACCGGAAATGGGAAGAACCCAGATTGAATAGCCACAAAGTTCTTCACTGAGGCAAATTCATCGAACCCTTAGACCACACTCCTTTGCCCAACATGTACTTCATGCGCTTCCTTCCTAAGAAAAGCAAAATTCGGACTGAGCACAGAGCCGTTTGAACCTCCGCTTTTAGCTACTCCGCAGGTTCCTTGGAGTGCTCCTTTTGGCCACCGGCACTTTTGCAAACAAGATGCTTCCTGCTTGCCGCCGGGCCAGAAGGATCCAGGATCGGATCAAAGAACCAGGGGTCACTAGACGAGGACCGAGGACCCCTAACCTCCATGGATAGCACCCCGTCTTGTGACTGCTGGCTGGAATGCTTGGCTCGTTTTTGGTGAAGAAATCCGCCCATTTGTCCATCACCTCTTTCCCCTCCGTGAATTCTGCTGAGTTTCTGAGGCCTCTCCGCCCAAAAAGGAAAGGAGGCGAAGGAACCTGCTAGTGAGAAGAAACAGTGAGAACGCCTTGGTGAAACCAAGAGATAGATTAGACTTGCTTACACTCCCTGCACTGGCCAAAAAGGGGTGTGAAGCGTCAGCGTCGCACGATGACGAACGCGGGAACGAAGTCAGGCAGTTTCAGGCAGAAAAGGCAGGACGTTCTTGGACTCAACTTGTCAAGGAACAAACTTGTCGCATTTTTGAGCAACATGCTCCAAGAGTCACATTCGACGGGGTGGTGTGGCTCGTCCCGTCCCATCCAGTGAGTGGATCAACACTCCGAACCGAACCATGGATAGCTCCATGTGACTGCTGGTTTAAGACGGTTTCTTGATTTTCATCAAGTCTGATCAGTGACTTGTGCCGTTTTCCAAGGACGCCTGCCCTTCGCCCGCTTCGCGCCCGGCCTTCGCGCGTACCTCATGCGAGGTGCGCAGGACGAGGCAAGCCTTGCCCCGAAGCGGGCGGTGCCGGACACCGCGGTCCTCCAACAGCTGGTCCTGGACTTCCTGGTGAACTGCCGGTCTTCAGGTGATCTCTTCCCCTTCACTGGGTCAACCCCCCAATATGTTTTTTGTTTTTCCTCCGGCTTCCCGGTTCCAGGAGGTCCCAGTTCTTCTTTGTCTCCAAGCTTCTGAAAGCAGCTCTCCTATGTAGGATCCACCGGCAGTTTAATGCCCCCAAAGTTGAAGTCCACCTGCCATTGAAAAGGAAGATGATTGATGGGCCTCTACTCCCAAACACCGTCCAATGATGTCAAACACCACCTTTCCTAAACTCTTTTGAGAGGCGCTATGTCTGTTTGAGAGACTGAACTCGCAGGCGAATGGGTCTCTGAAAACGGCGCCTCAGCCCCTGCGGCATCGAACGAACGAAGGGGAAAGAGTGCCGGATCCGAGTGGGACAACCTAGTCGGGCCAACTGCTTGGGGTTTTGAGCATGGCAAATCCACTGAGACTGAATGACTGGGTCATTCCATGTCGCCCCAGCCGACGTCGAACGCCAAGCGTCTCATCCTTGCAAGCGACCGGCGAGCGTATCGCCTGCGTGCAGGTGGGGCCGAGTCGGCAGACCAGCTGGAGGACTCGGGGAGCGAAGAGTTGGCGCTCCACCTTCGCGCGGCCCGAAGGCGCGCGCGGCGAGAGTGGGGCGTTGGTCTGGGCGAGACTGGGGCACTGTCAGAGATGTGCCACGGCTGGGGTGAACACAGGTCGAACACCAGAAATATCATGGACGCTGCCGCATGTGCGCGTATGTGCGCGTATGTGGGTTTCGCCTTGAAAGGGGCATAAGAAGACCAATGGCGCCCGACCCCTTATTCACTTGACCAACCACGAACGCCGCATCATAGTTCGACCATGTTCTACCAAGCTTGAGCTGGGATCATGTTGCATAAGAAGCTCAAGCGAAGCTGCACATAATGCATCAAACTTGCCATGCCGACCTCCGTTTGATGGATCTTGATTGATGACTGGAAGCTTTCATGGTTCCAGAGTGATATCCTTTCACAAGCCGTGGGTTCGGCTTTGGTGTGTTGAAAACCAAGGCCATCCAGGTGGTTTCATTATGTTTCATGGCCTCATTTCGGCATTTTTTGGGAGCACCAGTGGCTCAACTGTTCAGGACCTCTACCTTTTTGCTGCCGGAGATTTCCTGACAACTGACCCGTGCTACTGTTGGTCTCACCGGCTCTCCAACTCAGGAAGACTAATGATCCAAAAGGTGAGGAAGACTCGGTTTGGACCGTGATCTGCAAACTAGTAGCGTTCTTGCTACGAACGGAACAATTTGGGCATGACTACTAGGAGCGATCGGACGCTACGAACGTAGCTCTCTCTCTCTCTCTCTGTCTTTTTTCTCCACACTTCGGGTCTTTTCACAGTTCTGCACCACCTCGTACGAGGCGGTTCGTTTGTTTTTCAGTGAACGATGCCTCCCCGTTTTCAGTGATTCACGGTGTTCGGCGGTGGTTCGACGGCGTGTCCCGGTGTTTCGTGTATGTATCACTTGGGTCATCTTGGGTCTTGACCTGGAATCCGTGGGGTCTTTGGTGCAGGTCATCGGATGGACCCAATGGATCAGCGTAGTGGGCCCGGTTTTTCAGAGCTAGGTGGAGTGGACGTGACCAATCTTCTGGATGTGCACCCTCGGTATTGACGGACTGGCACGTTGGACTGGAGCAGGGTATGTCGGGCGCTGACGACTGAGTAAAGCGCATGTTGGGTAAAGAGGGGGTTCGCCCGAAGATCATTTGGTTGGCCTGTGGAGATGTTGGGACTCTTGGTCACTTCTTGCAGTGCCTTTTGCTTCTTGTGAATGTTTTAATTTGTAGTTTGGAGAGCTAGTTTTGTGACGAGACATTCAGGATTCTTTGCTTGCGACTGGCAGGGGCAGTGATTTGTGCATTGTATATCCGCCCAAAAACGGCCGAAGTTCAATTGTCGTGTTTGTCTTCTATAGTATATTTGGATATATTTGGGCCGTATTTGGGCCGTCGATCTCTGAAAGTTGATTATGGCAAGTCTTGTTTTGGCAGAAGATGGTTTTGCATTGGATTTTTCATTGGTTCTTTAATAGTCAATAAGTGTTCCTTAGACTTCGATAGATTTCGCACATGTTTTGTTTTTTGGCTGAGCAGCCATGAAGCCAGGCTTCGGTGTAGGTCAGGACTGGTCTTGTAAATATACCGTACCCCGCTCCCATTTGAATCACATGACATCACATGACTATGCCCCTAGAAGTCGAATCCCCATTGAAATAGTCTGTATCGGACAAACGATGAATGCACTAAGGATTTTACACTATGAAACAGATCAACCATGATGTCTTTTTTATTGGTCTTGGAAGTCTTGGACGTCTTGAGGCGATGTAAATCATCGATGACACCATCCATACATCGACATGACAGTAAAATCAATGACCATGGGCCCTTCCAAATGACATCCACGTGATAAAGTTCCACGCCCTGGGCCCTTCCGACCAACCCCATAACCCATAGCCTATAGTCCTGGGCCCACCCCACCCCCATCACCTCGAGTCTCGCCTGCATGCTGCTGGAGTCCTTTCTGCTGTGACTGCTCGCAAGTCTCGCCGCTGCTTGACCAGTCAGATGTCAACGAAGTCAGTGCGTTGATCAACACCCAAGACGGCTGGATCGAACACTCGTCTTAGCTCATGCCCAGGTGTTCGGAATTGACTCCCCCCCTCACTGAGTGACATCGGTTGGAGCGGTGGTTTGGGAGCCGCCAGTTCGGAGCCAAGCGCAAGCATGTCGTCTGGCAGCCACAACGGGATACCCGTTTCTTCGGCCGGTGCGTCCCGGCGCATCCCGCCATGGACCCCCAGAAGTGGTACCAAGAGAGACGACAAACGGCCGGGGACTCCCAGAGCCACGGTTCCGCGTGCCGCGTCTGGGTTTGCGCAGGTCGCCCCGGACGAACCGTGGAAGGTCGACGTGTCTCCAGGAGGTGGGAGGTTTGAAGCCCCTGCGAACGGTGTTTTTGCATTTGGAAGTTGGATGTTGGAAGTGGTGTCCATTCGTGGAACTGCACCAGTTTGCAGTCGCAGGCTTGGTTTTGGCCGCCCGCGGCGAGGGCGACTCTCGCATACGGACTGGCATCTTTTTCACGATTGGAGCTCGGGTGGAAAACAGTCACCAACGTCGCCTTCTCGCCAGTTGAGCCAGCAGACCCGCCCGGGCGGGGTCAATCTTGGCCCTCCCAAGGTGGTGGTCGAGCTGGATCCCAATGTGGCCTCCGGATCGGCCATCCGTGTCGTGGGGGCCGGGCGCCCCAGCGGGTGGAGGCCAGCGAGTTTAAGTGGAGCGAAAACGGTGCAGATGTATCTTCAGAAGTGGTTTTTGGTCCCTCGTGCGTCGGCGAACGTTTAGATTTAAGGTGATTTAGTTAGACCTTGTTTTTGGGTGCCACCGAGCTAAAGGAATCTCCTTTTTCGGGTCACCTAAAGACCCCTTTTAAAACAGTCTTGGACTTCTAGGCGCTTTCGCCATCCCTCAACCTTTTTGCCGGCTCAGAGGGTCAAAATAAGCAGTCTTGGACGGGCTCGCTCACGCGCCAGAAAACTAACATGGAACCTGATAACCACTGGGTTGTAGAGGAGAATAGTCTTGCAAAAGTCCATCTTCAGGTTCCATGTTAATCTTCCTGGGTGTAATGTGATTATTGATGTAGTAATAGATTTGCTGCAGAGATATTTACTGTAGATCAAATTCAGTCACTAGCTCGGTGGTGTTGCCTGGGTGGGAAGTCCAGCTGGAGGGTTTTTGAACGAAACATGCACATAGCCGCCCTCTCTGACAGGTGTACCTTCCTTCTAATTGTGATACGGTACGGTTGTCAAATGTTGTCAAGACAATTGAGCATTTGCGTCAGCATTTGGGCTGTGTTAACTAGCCATGACTTATGACTCACCTAGAACCTGTTTGCGACCTCTATTTTGGACCACCAACCACCCAAAAGATGGTCCAACTTCATCAAAACAGAGGTCATGTCCGGGTTCCAGGTAAACCCTAGAATTGCAAGGCCTGTAACAAAAATGGAAAATGGTTGACCTGGTGTTTGTAGTGTAAAATCCTTAGTTGATTCGTGATGACTCGCCTATTAAATTAATTGGTCCATGGTGATTCGGCTCGGTCTGAAGAAAAAACCCTTCTCTCCACCGCTTCGCGGGGGTTTCACACCCCCCCCAAGCGGCGGAGCGGTCCGACGAACCCGAGGGGGGTTCCAGGCGTCCACGCGGCGTGAACCGCGCGGCGTGTGTGCGCGTGCACAGGGTGCAAGGGGTGCCCGTCGGTTTCGCATGCACCTGCATAGACCTTGGGACGGAGGCAAAGAACAACATGCCTTGGGTCTGTCCAAACTGAGCTGCAACAGTCAGTAAATAGTGCAGTAACTATTTTGGAACAATTTGTTGAACAAGATCCTGCAACCAGGCCCCATCCTCCTCCTCTATGACTGCATTGCCTCGGGTCGAGCCCCAAACCATGCCATACGTACCATGCCTCTGATCGTAAAAAAAACTTTCCTCGGGCCTGAACAGTGCCCAGGCCGAGATCTTGGCTGGAACCTATGCGCCCATTTTAAATCGCCAGTCTCACGGTGCGAGGGGGGGACGGTCGGGGCCGCGAGGGCGGTGGAACCCCTCATTTTGGGGTCCGAGGAAGGGCGGGATTCTTTCAACATCTTTCAAGTGGTTGAGCACGGAGAAAGGTTGGAAGACAACACGGAAGACAACCAGTTGAAGCAACCAGTTGAATCATGGCAATTTGGGATACGACAATTTGTTGGAAGACAACACGGATAAAAGTGGCATCCCTTCGCAAATTCGCAGTTCTTCCAACCCAGGGAAGGGCGATTGGCTGATGTGGGGAATCATGCGCCGTTGGCGCAGCAGTGTTCAGTGGGGCATGATTGGATCAACATGGCAAGACAGTCGCTTGTCAAATGGTCAAGGATGGTCAACGAATGTCAACGATGTGTCTAAGTATTAGACCTTTGGAAAACCGACTGCCAACCAACCCAGTCGTGTTGCCTTGTCTGATGAAACCGCCGGTTTTAAAGGTCCGCCGGAATGAGCGGGTAGGTTCACCTGCCGCAGTGACAATGCGGTCTGGCCACCGGTTGAAATCACACGCTGCACCGTGGAGGGCAGCGAGTGTACAAGAAGGACAAGGCCAAGGATGACCAGGCCTCCAGCGATTTTGCGTTGTTCACTTTGCTCTTGGATCAACAAAAAATCATGTCCCATCCACATACTTGGACAATTGGAATTTCCTTTGGTGCTGTTAGGGGCTGGTGGAGATGATGAACATTTGACAGCTTTCAACATGAAGTTCACGCGGAATTGCATGACTTACAATAATACCGCCACACACGGCGCGAACAAGTCGCGCCAATGAGCCAAATCATCGAGCACTTGTTTCAACCCAGGGGGCAACTCATGTCCATTTGGCCATGCCATTGGCCAGTTCCATCAGGCAGTTTTCAGGCGAACATGCCAATTTGATGCTTGTAAAATTCGTTACAACATCACTATTCACTGAACTCCTCCACAGTCCTTGGAGGTTTTGTCCCATTCTTGTTGGCACATGCTGAACACATGCCGTCCAAACGTCACGCGAGCGCTGCGAGCGCCGTTTGGACACGACCCGAACAACCCCCCACATAGCCCGTAAAGATGCTTCAACAACCCACAGGGCAAGAAAGGACTCGGCCGCGGGGCATCGTTTGCTTCGGGAAGATGCGCGGTTGCCACTATTCCTTGCAAGTCCAATGTTTAGTTGCGTCGCGAAAGGATAGGCAAGAGATGTTGCCATTGTCCGCCCGAAAGCTCCAGAAACAGAGATCGTTCCAGGCAAGCCAGACCTGGACATGTTTCCTTGGATCTGACTGGTGCGCATCCTTTCGTGAGGCCAGCCAGACGATTTTCCTCTACTTCTGGAAAGCTCGGGGCCAATCGCCGCGTGGCCAGCAGGGTGTCCTTTGCAGCTTCGTTCTTGGAGGAACGTCGAGTGGGCAGACCTCCCATGTTGGTGTTCCTCCCGACGTGGTGTCGATCAACCTAGGTGCACATTGGTGAGCTAGTGACAAGTTGCACAGTCACAAGTCACAAGGCTGTTGATCTTCGTCATCCAGACTATGTCCCAGTTGGTCTTTGCTGCCTGGGCTACTGGGGCGAACCATACGCACCGGTCACTGTCTGTCTTGAAAACGACCTCGACCGATCGACACCACGAAACCGCAACCGGGAGACGTGAGTGGATGGGAAGGCTGGATGGAATGTGGAACGGGAGGCAGATGTTCATGAAACTTGAGTCCTTTTGCTTCCACAGGGGGGGGGGAAAGGCCTCCTCTGAGCTCTTTTTGGGGGGCTAGCTTACTTGAGACATGATGGTCAAGCTTCCAGGCATTGGAAAACGGTTGAGCTCTTCCAGACATGATATACTGCAGCGCTTCACTCTGACTGAAGTCCAGAAATCTGAGTCTCCAGGAGTATGAGAAGAATACGACAAGCTGCAGACGGCATTTAGAACAAGAACGCGCTCCCAGATTTTGTGTGTTGTTGTCAGATGTTTTGAATTGGTGCCTTTGGGCATGCACATGAAAACAAAAGAACTATTGAAAAAGCTACCAAAACTGCAGAACATAGTGAACATATATGTTTTCTGGTTCATTTTATCGTGGTCTTTGGTATGTTGTTCGTTCGTTTCTAGGTTAATCCTCTTTGTTTGCACCGCGCAGCAGCCGTCTCTTTTTCGTAGTTGTGCGTGCGTGTGTGCGTGTGTTTGTTTGTGGATTCCTGAAAATGCTGTTGCATCTTGTGATTAAAAACCCTGGCGTTCAGCTATGACAAAGGAGCCTGTTGCATTCTGCAACCAACCCTTCGATTTGATCGATCTTGCTTGATTGCTATCATGTTTTGTCGCATTCTCAGGGCCCATTCATTGGGAGCAAAGCTCTATGTTTGTTCCTCCAGCAGGTTTGAGTGAAAACAACCGCCCTCTCTGGATCGAAAACAGGGCCCGCGCGTGGGAAGCTTTGGCCGCCTGAGGCCTGGGTGGTGGTTCAGCAACGCCATTGGCCGCTCGGCTCACGCGCGTTTTTGCGTGTCATGAATGGTCCCCCGTGGATGGGTTGTTGCCGAACCATTGGGGTCCGGAAATGGATGGACCCAAAACTTCTGGCGAAACGGGTTTGATGCATTTCAGAGAACTGGGAAAGGGGGTTGACGTTGGGGATGTGGCATCACCACTCCTAAAACAACAGGGGTCTTGATGGACCGACCGCTCTGGGGCTGTGGCAGTGATTCCGGACCCCCGCATTTGTGCAACTTGCATGGGCAAGATCAACAGCCACCCTGGATCTGGATAAAACATGAAAAAAAGGCGTTCAAGATCGTTTTCAGGGTTTCTGGGTGCGTAGTGGTCCCCAAAGGTGGCACGGTTTCCTCTTGCATTTTGTGGGTGGGGATCTACGAACTTCTATCTATGAGCTGGGGGGTCTATATAGATTGAGCTGGCTGGCTGTGCCCTTTTTCGGTACAACCTGCCGATCTCCTCCTCAGCTTCGTCGACCCGGACTCCCCACCAGCCCCGAAAGCCGGATCTCCGCCGCCGTTGAGCTCCAGCGGTCCGCGGACGTTCGGTCCGGAAAGCCACCCAGAACGCGCAATTGCTTAGAAACGAAGCCTTTGAAAGCCCAGTCGATGTTGGGCAGGTCCAACATAGGTATGAACCCTATAGGGCGTGGTGCCAAGCCGCCAAGCCTTCATTTCATCACCCGATTGGACCCAGCTTCCGAACAGGGCGCAGTCACAACTGGAACCTTTGGTGAACGTGAGCGATTGCGGCGGTGTTCGCCAACTGGTGAAAAAGGATGTCAACTTTTCATGCAGAAGTAGCTTGACCATCCCGAGCTGCTTGAGAGAGTTGTGGTTTTCTTTGCCAACATTTTTCTTGAGACCTGTCCTTTGTTGACGGGAAGCTTTGGAAGAACCAGTGGTTCAGACAAGTTGTAACAGTAAACACGTATGACCAAGATATGTTCCAAGGCGATGGATGTTTGATGATGTTTCTGGGGGCCACTATATCAATGACACCCGCAGTCAACCTCTTAAACCATTCGCATTGAAAGTCATGAAGTGGATACCTAAGAAGACTGTGTCAGACAGACTGTGTCGGTGTTTGTCAAGGTGTTTAGGAGGAATGACGACGAATTCTGCAGTGAGAGGCTGAGAGCTGTGCCTCCCAGCGGTTGTGCCATGGCATGGCGCTTCTGGCTTTTCCTCCTGGGCCTTGTGTGGGACATGTCGCTAGGACGGGTTGCATTTGCTGCCAGCTTGGTCTACCTCGTGTGAAGCATGTTTGCATTTTGTCACTGAGTTGCTGTTTTGGTCGGTTGCTGCACTGGAAACTTATGAACACATTCTAATTTTCCTGGGTCTTGGTTAAATAGATGTCAAGAGCCAACAATGTTTTAAAGAGTTCCCACCAGTAGAAGAGTCGGTGCTTTGCAAACATTTTCCTCACGCTGGAAACGCAGAGGGACCAACAAAACGGGCGAACCCAAAGTGGAACCCGAACTTCTTCCCAAGCACGGCTCCGAAGTACAGAGGGAATCGGAATCGAGTGGAACTCGTGCGTCAACGCGTTGCGGGCTGGACGGACGTACGCGTGGGTTACCGCCGCGTGGCGCCGCTGGGCACGTAGGAGCAGGGACCAACAAGTCGATGGAGCTGCTGGAAGCTCAGCTGTTGCCGCTAATTCAGCCCCCACTTCATCCTGGTTTTTGGCGGTTTTCAGGTGATTTCTTGGTTTTCCGGAACTGGGCCAACCCTCAAACCTGCAAAACATGTTTTCCGGGTTCCTGGACAGCAAATCCAAGTCATCCCGCAACAGGTTGCCAGCAGTGGGCAGGCAAGAGGCTTGAGGAACATCTCCCGGTCTCTCCTAGGTGACTCGCCGGAAAAGCACGATGTGCCATTGTGTTTTTTCCGTGGGAACTCATTACTTGGTCTTCCATCATTTCCAAAACCTCATTCCATCTTCCATCATTCCGCAGGCCTTCCATCATTCCAAAACCATCAAAGACCGGTTTTGGGCGCCCAACCACGGCGAGCTGAATGGCTGCGCGTTCTGCCCATGAGGCAGACGCTGCGGAGTGCCCTGGAAGTGGCCAAAGAGAAGGATCAGAAGGCGGCCTAGGGCCTCGTCGGCTGTGCATGGACTAGGCCATATTCAATCATATTCAACATGGCAGGACCCAATACGATCCCATGGACCCTGAAAAACCGGTGCAGCTAGAGGAAAACAGTCGGACTCCGAGTCCCATTCGACCCGGGCCCATGTGAGTGACATCGGGAGTGTACTTCATGTAGACTCTTGATTCATAAAACCACCCCCATTGGGGATCGAAGAAACCTCTTTCTATGTGGGGAGCTTATTAATCAAGAGTCTACATTATAGGCCATTGCACATGCTTCACCCTGTAGAGGCAACCTATAGGGCTTTTGGCGTGCCAGTCCTGAGTCCTGACAAATGGTTTACACATGGGGCTAGAACATGCTAGAACATATGACTGTGTGCGTGAGAGCATGTGGTGGTTGTGCCGTTGTGCCCGGACACCGTAGGGAATGGGAGAAAGAAGCACGCTCCTGAAATGAACATTTTGAAGAGATAAACCCAGTATCTCATAAGATATCATAAGATATCTTTTGTCCAGCTCCAGGCGTTGACAGGTGTTTATACGCTCAGTCATTGCCCTTTTCACGAAGCCGGTGAAACATCATGAGAAAAGACTACTGGACCATCTCAAGGTCCCATGAAAGCATATATTATACGTATGGTCCATCGGCGATCCCATGGTTGATGCTGCTATGGTTCACCGCCTGCAGGTGCAAGCGGAGGAAGAGCACGAGAGGCCCAGAGAACGTCCAAAGTTTGCCAGAGGACGCAGTGATTCTTTGATTTAATTCCTGAAGTACTTGTAGGGTAAAGGGTCCAGTGTTCTTCCCCGGAAGATCTCCCCTGCGAACATTCATCATTAAAAAAAACAATGAACCAACGGGCACCCTGGATGCGACCCATTCGCTTTTTTCAGGGTGGAAGCAGCCTTCACGAGTTTCTTTGGAACTCTACTTGTGATTTGCCTGGTGCTGGCCCTGCTGTGGATGCACAACCGTGGCTGGACCCAAATACACATGGCAGACGCGACTAGTAGCTCCTGGCACTGCTTACTAGTCTAGTGGCAAGGACGCTACTAGGTGGAATCGCTACTAGGTTGGAGGCCATCGCCACTAGTACCAAGAAGCTACGAGTAAGGGAGAGCTCCGTTTCACACCAGTGGAATGTCACGGAATCTCATCGAAGGTTGCTCCAGTGTTCGACGACCGGTATGCATGTTTTTCCATGCATTCTTCATGTTCTGATGTCGGAGGATTTGATCTTGACAACTCACCAATTGGTTTTGTTCACTCACCAGCTGGTTTGGGGCTCACTTTCGGTTTGCAAGTCCACCACCATGTCCGTGACCGACCTCAGGTCACCAGCAGGAGACGGCCAGTGTCTTGGCGCTCGGTTCGGTGGCGCGGTTCGGAGGTCGTTCGGTGGCGAGGTCCAAAGCGTGCACGGTTGGGCGCATGTGTAACCACCTGCAGCTTGCAAAGTGAGCACTTCAGATCTCTAAGGCGTCTAAGGCGCACGTGTGGTATCCGTTTCTGCGGAATTCTCCCCCTTCACTTTGTTTAGGAAAGGCTTGGGGTGGGTGCTTGCTTGAGCCGACGAGCAGCAATTACGCTGGTGTGTTGGGTTTGTTTGAATGCCGCATGCCTGAAAGAACTCTCTGATTGGTGGGTCCTCATTGAATTGAAGAGATTATACACCAACACATGGGATCAATCATCCAATCTGGGTCCTCATTGAAGTCTTCGAATGCCGCGGAATCCAACCGAGACGATCGAAGATCACGGAGATCGGCGGAAGATCGACGGAGAGCAACGACTCCGGCCGTTCGACCAGTCGAGCGGAGTTCTGGCACGTTCTCAGAGGACGGTGCAGAAGGCACGCGCAATGCAGGAACTACTTGGCAAAGACTAAGCTTGGCGCGCCAAGGTGTTGGAGAACACATGGGAACACCTCGACCCGGCCTGCCGCAATCCTTTTTCTGTACATCCTCATCTTTGATGCGGAACATGCGCCGGTCATGCGGCCGAGGCGTGTTCTTCAGTGGCCGAGTTCGGTGCCTCATCCGATGGTCCGATTCCGTGCTTTCCGTGTTGTGGCGGATGGCGGCCTCATTGAAGATCTGTTGGCCCTCCAACCTAATAGCAATGGCCTCCAACCTAATAGCAATGGCCTCCAACCAAATAGCAATGGCCTCCAAGCTACTAGCGATGGCCTCCAAGCTACTAGCGATGGCCTCCGAGCTAGTTTTATTGTCATCCCTCGTGATGTTTGGTGATCAAGAATGATTGTCCTTGCGGCAGCATTGGTCGCGATGCACTAAGGACTGATGAGCACAATCGTGCAGCTCAATGAGGCGGGGGTTTTGGAGAGGGGTCTATGGCTTCCTCGCAGGAGAGTACCGTTCAGGCACGTTCTCCCAGCATAGGAGGTCACTGCCTCAACGAACTGCAGGGTCTTCTACACTGCCTGAAGTGGCCATTGGAAGTGGAAGATGGCCAATTAGATGATCATTTTCCTCTGCAAACAGGTGGTTGTCCACTTCCATTCTTTCAAGGAAGTGTACTTCGTTTCACCCTCGTCAAGTCGGGGGTTGATACGACGATGTCGTCCAAACCCCGTGCGCTCCACGCTCCGCTTCCGTGTTTGGTAACCTGACGCAACGCTGAACGCGAAGAAACCGTGCCAAACTGGCACCCGGCAGAATGTGCCGAGCGGGTTGGCCTCCAACTTAATGGCGTTGGCCTCCAACCTAATAGCAATGGCAGGAGCGAGCCAAGTTGATGCAGAAGTTCACCTTGCAGCAGCCATTGCTGGACACTGGGAAGCCATGAGAAGTGCTTCGAGGCCTCCGAAAGCCAGGGCGTGTGACGGCAGAACACATCCCAAAAGCAAAGCCCTCTAGGCCTTGAAGCACCGTGCATGTCCTTCACCAACAAGTACAGAGGTTTATCAAAAGGACATGATCTGTGTGTGTATTTCTTCTTGGATAATTAGGGGTTCAAGCACGCTGCTCAAGTACTGATTCTAAACACATGACATAGTACGTACTACATTTATATAGATAGTGCATGCAGTGTGTATAAGATGGCACAAGTTTGTCCTTCCAGTGGGAGTTGTAGGATCTACCTCAACTTTTACGTCGTGGACGGGGTTGTGTAGCCCGGGGAAGCATTCCATGATATTCCATGGAGAATCCGCTGCATTCGGCTTTGCTACCTCCTGCAATGTGTGGAGTCCCGGACTGAGAACTTGAAAAGAGAAGCGCCCGAGGAAGGCTCCATCCACACGGTCGCAGGCCATGTCTAGGGACACTCAGTATACTCAGTGAACCAAATCCAGCGGAGCAGGTGATGCTTTATTTTCCCTATGATTAAGTCCTCCAACCTGGGGAGTATCGGAATGTATTCTATTTTGCCAGGTTCCTGAACAGCAAATCCAAGTTATGGTGCAAAGAGCTGGCCCTGTTTGGCTCACACCCGAGCATGCCATTACAACACTCACTCACCCTCGCACGATGAGGTTGTTCTGAAGTCCTGCTGACGCAGCTGCAAGAAAAATGGACCGCAAGGTGAAGGTGGTGGATGATCATAGACTTCTTTCGAATGGGAGTATGGCTCATCCAGTGGCGTGAAAAACACATGCCCACTCCTCTGTGTATGGATGTGTGTGTGCGTGTGTTTTGTGCTAGTGGGTCCATACACTTGTAATCGTGCCCCAGAGGTGCTCGCTGAGAGAGGTAGAGAGAGTGAGCGTCTCCACGCGAGAGAGAGAGAGAGAGGGGGATAGGCCAGGCCTGCACCGGAAGGGTGTCAGGGTGTGTGAAATTTTAAGAAGGCAGTGGCTCTCTCAATTCTCCCTTAGTCATTCTGTAGGTCTGTTAACTCCTGACCTTGTACAATAGCCTTCACACCGAACAGCTAACTTGCCCATTCGCGCCCCACAAGCAAAGGCAGCAACAACGCCTACGCGTTCTGCAAAGGACCTGGGATTCCTTCTTCAGCAAGTTGCTCCGCGAGTTTGGTGTGAGTTTCATGTGGACTTGAGCGGGGAAACCGCTAAGCCCGGGGAAGTGGTCTACACATCCACTTGAAGATTCCCTTCGGTGCTGGGAACATTGGAAGTGAGTTATGGCACGTGGGGGCCGATAGTGGCCACTCTCAATGGGACCTCGCTGTGTGTGGACTGCTGTGGGCGCATGCTGAGGCACCAGCCAACCCAAGCCAGGTTTCCCACATTTACACACAAAACAGGGCCATTCGGATCGGGGAGATGCTAAGTGACGGTTTTATTAAAGGAAAACCATTGTGGCGATCCCTGGTCAGATCGCAAAGGTTTGATCGGACTTGGGTGGGATGTTGGGTTGGATGACCAATAGGAGCCCAGCACTGGCCTTGCAACACATCCAGCCATCAACTCCATGTCCAAACCACCAGTCAGGGCTAGCATATGCTACTTTTTTGGCGCTTGCCACTTGCGAAGCCACAGCAGCTGGGCGAAACCCCCCCGGTTCGCCCCGCTGGACGTTGAAGACCATGTCAGACGTCATGAAGAGACTCAGTCGATGTGTTCACCGGGTGCAGGGCACAGACTTGGTCACCACAGGTCACTAGTGAGACTCTATGCTGCTTACTTTGTGGTTGTTTTTGGACATGGTCAGCGAACCTCAAGCAGCTTCTTGCGCGGAGTGATTTGCTTCGGAACTGGTTTTGTGTTGGGGGCGATGAGAGAAATCCCGACACCAGCGGATGGCGCCCTGGACGAAATTGGACGAAGTTCCCCAATCACCGATGTGCACGCGAGGATACAACTTCCCACCACCGAAGGAGGGCTGGCATGCAGGGAGCCTCAACTGCACGCTGCGCATGGGGCACCCGGCACTGCACCTCTTGCAGGAACACACGTGCTTTGCGCCCAGAAGTTCCGGCGAAATCCCTTGAAAGGACGACGTGCAAAAGTGCAGACTCTGTTTTTTGCCCCTCAAATGTCTGGAAATGTCTGCCACCAACCATGCCAAGAGAGGTTGAACAGCCCTATAACTCATTTTATACGTAACCCTAGTTCTGGTCCTAGTTCTGGTCTCTCAAGCTCTATAGTAACAAGAAGCTACTAGGATGGAGGTCATCGCTGCTAGTAACCATAAAGCTTTCTAGTAACCCCGCCTCGCGTCCGCATCTCTCGGTCCATCGTTGTCCAGTACCGCGAAAGCGGGCTCATGGAGTCGTCGTCTGGGGCGGGCTCGCGGGTCAAAGCAGTGGCCAAAACCACGCGAACTGGCCGGTCAAAGCACCCTGCACTTGGGTCCAAGTGGATGTGCATTTTTGTTGCTGCTTCCGGCAAGGAAGAGTCCTCGAAGGGGTTTAGAATGGTTTAGAGGTTCCCAGGTCCAGGCTGTGCAAGATTTGTTCGGATGAGTCGTACAATTGTATGTGAAGGTCTGTTTGTGGGCTTTGTCTTGGGTTGTTGGATGTTCCACTTCATTGCAGGAACACATTCATTACAAGAACGCCGCTCCCCCCAAAAAGACCTGTCTTGGCGAACGCTTCAAGAAGGGTTGGCTGAACATTTGGCAGACTTGGCCGGTTCTTTCTCTTCCGCGCCTCGCTCGGAGGAGGCTGTATAAAATATAAGCAAGTAAGTCAGTCCGTGGCCATTCTGCTTCGGCCAATTCGCAAGTCAAGTAGTAACAAGAAGCTAGTAGTAACAAATGCCACGCTAGTAGTAACAGGTGCCTTACTAGTAGTAACAAGAAGCTAGTACCTGCTGCGCATCCGTCGCCCGCCTTCGTCTCTTGGGCTCACATCCAGCGGCGCCGGCGTCCTGGGCGAAGCCCGCGGGCCGTTCACCTGCTTTTTGGACCGGTTGCCGGGCGTTTCGGCCCGGTCGGGGCATGCCGGAGGCGGGGGGGTTTGGACAAGCCTCCCTTGGACAAGAGGCCGCACGTGATCCAATCACAATGCTTTTTTTGGTGGATAAGGTGATTTTTATTTCCCCGAACTGGGTCAATCCTCAGACCTGGGTCCATGGAAAACAGATCAATTAAGTGTTTACTTTTTAGGTTTTCAACTTCTTTCAGTGTGTGGAGGCCCTTCCCTACCAAGAACATGCTAAAAGATTGCAACCACCGATGTGGTGCTTGTTCCTCGTTTGCACAGGACGAGGCGACTGAAGGAAATGAGCCGACTAGCGCAGGAGGTGCCAGTCGGGATGCGGGGACATGCCTGTGTTGGGTTTCCCCATGCCCAGCGTGCAATTGGCAGGTCAACTGTTGTTTTTGTTGGGGTGGCATAGGTGAAGCTACCCCGCTACCCTTGAGAATGGTCAAATAAGTCTTTACCAGTGTTTTGACAACACTTTTTTGTTTTTTTCAATGCATTATTGGAACAACACATGCTTAGTCACATGCGCTTCTTCCTTTGGGTTTTCGCGCTGGCGCAGCAACGCAGAGCAACGGCTCACGGTCCATGTTCAGCACACCTGGATGGTCCATGTTCAGTCGACGATGTTCAAAACGACCAAACTAAGACGACCTTCATGTCGGGGTGCGAAAAATGGAGATCCCTAAGTATTGTAGTCTATTGAAGACCCCTTTGAAGGTGCTGGGTGTTTGATGAGGCCGACACCTTCCTCGCCATGTGTTCCACGCTTCCCTCGCCGTCAGGCGAGGTGGACGAGCCCATGGCCGATGCCGGCGAGGACGTGCCCTCGGGAGGCGCAGAAACCCGGTGGTTTTCCCAAGCTGTTCCAATGGAGAGCCATCGATTGGGAGCTGAGAGATGCTTTGGTTCAACACCATCACTGATGGTCCTTTTGATGAGAGGTGTTTTGCTAATTATTATGATCTAATTATGTTTGCTGAAATGTGGTCCTCAAGTAGGTAGTGGCACGGTTTCCAATACATGTTCAGTGGGAATTCTACTTTGGGTCTATGTCAGGGAAAGACTTATCTGGGTGCCGAACCGAGTTTCTTCACCTGCTTTTCATTTTGGTGATTTGGAAGAGTCCTGAATAAACAAAATATTATTCTGAGGTAATTATGTTGACACCGGGGTCCCTAAGAGAGGCACCGCGCATCGTAGCGAAGAATCCAAAACCTTGGCTCATACCCATGCTTCGTAGCGGTTGGAGGCCATCGCTACCAGGACCCTCCAAGGGGTGTCCAATGGGCTACCCCACACTACCTATAGGCTTCCATTAACCACCTCTTAGGGGGCCCTGGTATGTATTCCCATTCGGCCCAGGCCCCTCGCAGCCTGCGGAGGCGCCAGCAGCGCCGGACCAGCCCGGGCCCGACGGGCCTGACGGGCCTGACGGGCCGGACGGGCCCGACGGGCCCGACGGGGCTCGGGAGGAAACCAAGGACCGTAGCAAGTCGCTTGAGAGGCAGCCGGTTGACAGTTAATGTGATCAATACAATATTAAACACTATATTATATTGAATTATATATTAGTATATTTGATTTTATTGTGTTATATATAACGTTATACAACCATACAAGACTGTTGAGTGTGGACAACCCAGAGAAGCTGACCTACGGGCGAAGGTTTTGGAGCCGATGGCTCCTTGATCAGAGGGAAGAGGATGAGAGGGATGGGGCATTTGGCATTTGCCATCATGAGTTTCCAAACCACCCCTTCAAACACTCGCCTGGATCTGGCCCTGATACTGTAGTCATTGGCGTGAGATTGTGCATGACAATTGCACGGTTTTCCTGCGGTTGACAGTTATGTTGCTTAGATGTAGCCAAGCGATACCATGTATTCTGCATGTACACATGCACTCTTCCCGCATCTCACTGAAATGAAGAAACACCGTTCTTTAAAGGTCCTCCATTTTTCTGTGACATCTCCGGCAGGAGGAGTCCTATAATTTCCTATAATCATGTATAATCGCTAAAATGCCCTTGCTCCAGGTGGGCGGGATGATGTTCTGGAATCCTACCATACTGTTCTGGTTTCCGAGGAGGAGGCTCAAGATGATCGAGAGGAAGCTGTAGAGCCTGCGGGTCAAGCTGTAGATGGCCCAGATCATCCAGAAGATCAGAGAGAAGCGGAGGACCTGTGGGCCGTGTATCTGGGGCCCTCGTCGAGTGATCATCGCGTTTCGAATGTGCAACTTGGCCAAAAGCGATGGTTCCCATCATTTCTATCACCCATTTGCTTCCCCATCTGCTTTACCTCCAGATTTATGTCGGGCGCGCCAGCCATAGATACAAGGAGCCAAAACAAGATTTTATAGAGCAAAAACAAACAAATGGTAAAGCACACCAAAAAGAAAAAAACATGTAGCTGTGCGTGTTTGTCGCATTTTTTTCGCTTTATTTTCGCATTATTTATTTTCGGATTTTTCGCTTTTTTCCTAGGAGCGTACAGCAAATATGGCTGACTGACGGGTAAAGGTTCCCATAAGTACAGAAGTGGTACCAGGAAAAAAGCAAACAAAAAAACAAATGCAAAAACAAAGCACATTGCGCTGCTTTGGCATTTTCATTTGCTTTTTTTTTTTCCGCATTGTCTTCGCAAAACACATTATTTGATGGTTGGTCATGTATGGCTGCCATTGCCCAACATAGCTCCAGATCTTGAGGGCTTCGCCTGGAAGAAGAGGATGCGACCAGACTCAGAGTCATTTGGGGGTTCGCTCCGGTCTGGCGCTCGGGCCCAGCGTGACGTCCCCCAGGAGGTCCCCGCAGGTGATGCCGATCAAGATAGAGAAGATGGCTGGGAGGCAAGCCTGCTGCACTGCGGATCAGGTGGTTCTTTTTTTACTTCTTCCGAACTGGGTATATAAAAGTCCCCAAAGCTGGGATTTTCTGGGGAATCTTGTTGTTTGCTTCCGGTTCCTTAAGCAAATCCAAGCAAGACTCAGCCTCTAAGAGATGTACTGATGTACTCGTAGTAGGTGCTCCAAACAACAAAGTCATTATAGGAGTTGAAACGTGGCAGTTTTCTGGATCAAAAGGGTCCAGTCCAGTCTTCGTGCAATTCCGATCACAGAAAGTTTGCTTCGATCACGGCGGGGGTATATAGGCCATTCTGAGCCTATAAGAAACGACCACTTCGTATGCCTCAAAAAAGGACCATCATCCGAAAAGAACCAACAATAGAGAACTAGTGTAAGGACTTTATATAGTTTAGAGAGCGGGGGGTGAGGGGGGGGGGGGAGATGTGCAAGTTTTGATTTTGCAAGGTTTTGAAGGGTTCTACATGGATTTCGCAGAGTAAAGGGCAATTTGATGTGATAACAACAGTATACAGCAAAGCAAACCATGCAAAAACCTCGAAAATCAAAAAAAAAACAAAACTGCAGACCCCATTGGGGCTCTTGTCTGACTCTGTGGACATGTGGTCTGCAGGTTTTTTTTTTTTTTGGATTTTCGAGGTTCTGGCCATCTGGAGCAGACCATGCCCCCCTCAACCCCCCCTTCTGTTAATTTAAGAGGGGTTGGAGTCCGATTGCAGGCCATCGCTTCTGGGTTGGAGGCCGTCGCTCTTAGGTTGGAGGCCTTCGCCCTTAGGTCGGAGGCGGATTTGAAACACTTTATGCAACACCCACTTCATTTTTTGCATCTTGGGGAACGCGGGAGGTGGATCGGCGCCGGTTGGCGCGGAGATTCGAAACCGGTTCCATCCAGCAGGACGGCGACCACGACGAGGGCGAGTCACGCGAGCCACGCGAGGACCGCGCGGAGCACGAGGAGGACCGTGGTGATGGCGGTGAGAAAGGCTGGAAGGGATGGAAGAGAAGTCTTTTTTCTTTTTTTCGCAGGAGGTCGCGGGAATCCATGAAAAATGGAGCATAATACTTGAAGTTTCCTGTGTAAAGTACACCTCATATGTATAGACACAGTTCATGAACATTTGTACTTTTGGCTCAAGTGATAAAAAGGCCGCAGCCGCTGCCACTTCGCGGACACGGCGGTCTTTACTGAGAGTTGGTTTCTTGTTGTTGTTTGTGTTGGTGTTCCGTTTTTCAACGGTTCAAGTGGTTATCAGCCGTATCGGCTTTTGATTGTTTTTCGGTTTCTGTTACAACACAACAACATCTTTCATTAGTGTGGTTGCGGGGTCCACAGAAAACCCGTGCATGTCAGGTCGACGTCCTCGAGAGCCGTCCCGTTCGCCAATTCGTCGGACGATACGGCCTCCTGAACCCCCAGGGCCACCGCCAAGGAGGCCGCTGCCACCGACGCCTCCTGATCCTCCGAGGCGCGGTATCCGGGGAGGAGCTGCCGCACGCCGACGCAGAGAGGCGTACATTGTCAATTCGGGAGGCGATCGAGCGACGGTTCCGATTGTTCACGCTGGCGGTCAGAGAAGGCCACTTGGAACTTCTAGGTTTTGGGAGCCGAGTGCAAGCGAGGATTCGGGTGAGGAGACTGACGAAGTTGAGTTTGTTGCGCATACATCAGCAGTTGATTTGACTTCGTTGCAGGCTGAGCATCTTGTGCCGCGTTCAAGGCTCTACAACCCGTACGTCTTCGATCATTCGCCTGGCTCGTCAAGTTTGGCTGCGGCCCCAAGGCCTGTTCCGAGCCGAGCGGATTCGAGTGTTGTTGATACGCCTGCCGGAAATCGGCCCTACGACATCCTCAAGTACTACCACCCGGCGCCTGGAGTCGTTCTTCACCCGTGGTCGCGAGTTGACATTGTTTACAGGGAGGCCTTGACTTTTCCGTCTTCAGCCAAGTTTTACGTGTGGGCGAACGGTGATACGTTGAGGCTGGCTGCAGAAAGGCCGAATCACTGGGGCTCTGATCCGGTGATTGCATTGGACTACCATCAGGTCCTTGACGTTGATCGGAGTGTCAATCCTCCGGATCGTGTGGATCATATTGGTAATCTGCCTGCGGGCCACGTTGCAGCAGTTCGTCGCTTGCGAAGGGAGATTGAGGAGGTCGGCTTGCGTTGTCGAGTGAAGATCATTGTTTTGTCGCACATTCACGACAGTGTGGTGAACGAGAGGAACTTGATCACTGCTGTACAACAGAGTTCATTGTCGGTTGATTGTGTGATCATCACTCGTGAAAGGACGGGCCCAAGTGGAAAGTTTGAGGTGCTGAGATCGTTGACTCGTGGTCAGGCTGTGATTTTGGACGACAACGTTGAGGTGCTGCGTGAGTTCAGTGCGGCGAGCCTCATCGCTATTCAGATTCGCAAGCCTCGGGTCGGAGCGATTTTTGACGAAGAGCAAAGGTCTTGGAGTTTTTCAGCACCTTGGTTGGTGGATCGTTTGGTGACTTTCGTGCATCACCATTCGAATCCAGTTGACGAGGAAGAGTGAAGTTGCATCGAAGCTGCTCCGGTCCGGCTGCTTTGAGCGCCACGGAGCCTCGTTCGTTAGGCCAGTTCCCGAAAGAGCCTGTGCCAATTGTGCATTCGTTCCCGCCGAAAAGAAAGAAGGGTTTGGGAGAGTTTGGATAGTTGGCCAGTGAATCATGTCAGAAGAGCAATCTTCATCGTTGAATGTCAGTTCAGATACTGGTGGTTTGGCAGTTGCTGTTCGGAGCAGGTCCCAATCCTCCCATGGTTCCGGAACACCCCATGAGGGAAGGAGATCAAAACCTCCAAAGAGATCTTTGAGCAGAGTCATCAAAAACATGCCCAAAGGTACTCAGTCCCAGGTTCAAGCAGAGGGGTCATCAGTGGTTGAACCATCCATTCCTGCGCTCACTGACCTTCGGTCTTTGCCTTCGTCCAGTGGGTTGCTCCAGCGGTCGGTTGGTCCATCCGAGTTCCAGGGTACCGGAGAGGAAGATGAAGTCATGCCTAATCAAACTAGCTTGACACAAGAATTGCACCTTCATGACGCCCGGTCTTTTAACACGGTCCAGGTGGCATATGTTGGTATCGATCATGCAGAGTTCGGTCGTGTTGTAGCTGAGTCTCAACGACTGATCGGGGAAGCGGACTCTAGAGCTTCGCACTTTGAAGGTGTCGCTCAACAAGTCTTTCAGGAAGCCACAGCTCACATCGGTCACCTGACATCCCTGGTCGAAGAACTCCGTAGTCAGAATGAAATGCTCCAAACGGGTCACATCGAGAAAGATGTCATGATCACCAGCTTGCATGAAGCGGTCCAAGAGGTAAAGCAAACCCTTGAGAACCAGATCAAATTCAACCAGTCCATGTTTGAGGGTCAACTTCGCAAAGCGAAAGATGAGATCGACCGTTTGTCCGACCTCAACCAAAAGTCCCTCAACCTTTTAGGCCATAGAGATTCAGAAATCCAGCGTCTTTGCCTAGAGTCTTCGTCTCGACAAGATCGCATCTCGTCGCTGGAGGCCCGACTGGCTGCTTCAAGCGCCGCGGTCATCCAGTCGCCTGCGCCTGCCTTCGTTCCGAAGCCTGTGCCTGATGCATCTTCGCCCAAGGACACTGAAGGAGGCAACAGAATGTTGGAGTCGATTATGGAAGCTGTTCAGTCACTCAGTTCCAGAATGTTGACACTTGAATCAAGCCGAAATAGCACGGATCCTAATCGTGAGCCTCGACCTTTGTTCGATCGTTCGCATGACACAGTTGTCCATTCATCCTCACCTCCTGTAGGACCTTCTCGTGGACTTCGTGTTGGCAAAGGCTTTCCCGGAGGTCTGCCCGATCCATTCGATCAGGGGGGTGGAGGGTCGGACGACGATGAAGAGGAGTTGATTTCAGAATCGCCCTCACATGCCTGAGAAAGGGAGATTGTTGATTCTAGAGCTTTGTTGCACACCAAACTGGAAGTGGTCCCTCAGAGTGCTGCAGACTTTAGAGCTTGGAAGACAAACTTCTTTCTGATGCTTGGCCGCTTGGACATTTCGTCAAATGAATACCTTTCCAAGTGGGCTGCAACGGCTTTCGAGGTAGGTCAGGAGAAAGAATGCCAGAGTTCATCAGGCCTGATCCCAAGGTTTGATAGATGGCTTGCATCTGAGCTTCTCAAGAATGTGCGGTCAAGCCCTGAGTTGTTGTTCAAAGTCCAGGGTTATGTTGAGCGGTGCACTCGTCAGTCCACAGTCCCTCGGGGTAGGATGATTTTGTACATGATTGCTCGACATTTCGATCTCGATCGTACTCGTGGTTCATTGCTCACATCGCAAAGCATCTTTCAGGTGGAACTCAATGGTTTTTCGTTGAGAGATCTCCAGGAGTTTAGCGGTACAGTCATGAAGACCTTGAACTCCATTGACCCTGCCGACTGGCCGAATCAGAGAATGTTAGGTGAATGGTTGTTCCATCGGTTGAGAAATGTTCGAAAGCTTGAAAGGACCATTGACGAGATCAAACGCTCCGCATATAGCTCGGAACTTCGTGATTTCGACTTCCTTTGGGGAAGATTGCAGGAGCACCTCGTTGAGGAAAGGGAAGACACCAATGCTAGGTCCATTGAGCTTTCGTTGAAGCCAAAGTCGTGGAAGAAAGATCCAAAGGAGAAGTCGAATCCTCTAGCAAACCCTGTCAAGGCTGCCACGGTTCCGCCATCACCTCCTAAGGAGACACCGGCGGCTCCAGCTGATCCTTCGTCATCAAAGAGTGATCCTAAGGGTAAAGGTGGCAAAGGTGATAAAGGCAAAGGTGAGAAGGGAAAAGGTAAAGGCAAGGGTTTGAGCAAGGAAGACAGGGCGAAAACGCCTTGCGTGTTCTTCCAAATGCCTTCCGGCTGTGTGCACGGCAGTTCATGCGCGTACTTGCACGAGAAGGCCAAGCCTGATGCCAAAGCCGAAGCAACGGCTAAGCCAAAGGCTCAGCCAAAGCCGAAAGCCAAGGCAATGGCTGCTGTTGCCATTGTTGCTGCCCTCTCATCGATGGCCATGCCAGTTGAAGGCCGTCTAGAGTTTGCTGCAGACACAGGTGCCGGCCGACATCTCGTCTCTCCACAAAGCTTAGAAAGGCAGGGAGTGTCTCCAGAGGTGTTCAGCCAGTTCCAGCTTCCTTCACATGAGAGCCTGAGGTTTTCGACAGGTGGAGGAAAGAGAGATTCGAGCGATGCAATCGGTCTTAGGGATCGTGAAGGCATCTTTCAAGAAGCAAATCACTTCGTGCTTGACTCATGCCCGTTTGTCCGATCTGTTGGTCTTGACGTCAGCAATGGTATGGGGTTTTTGTGGTTGCCCAATCAACTCCCATGCTATATAAAAGACTGCAATCAATTCCAGTTCCAAACGGATGAAAGTAATTTGATTCGAGCAACGAGGGTTGATCAGTATGTACCATATTTCTCCAGATCATTTGATTTCATTCCAGGCGTACCAGGTGAGGTGGAACCTGTTGAAGCAGCACCCGAGGTCCGGTCTCCTGAAGGTGCGATTCCGCATTCAGTTGCAGACGACATTCGTGGCGTTGCTCCAGGTGAGGCTTTGCCAAAGGTTCCTGAATCTGAGAAGTTCGTGCGTGAACGGGAACTTGCACTGTCCACCAAGCATTGCATGACACATTTCCCTAAGTCCGCACTTTGTGATGTTTGCAATCGTGCTAGGCTGTACTCAAAACGCATCAGATCCCATCGTAGAGCAGATGAAGAAAGTGATCTTCCTGTTCCTGAAGCGTTCGGCCAGCAAAGCAAATTGCATGTGATCACATGATCGTTTCAAAGTCTTCGTCGGGGAAGGAATTTGTTGTTCTTGTGGTGATGGACTTGTTCAGCAAAGTTTTCCAAGCATACCCTCTGGCAACAAAAGATACTGATTCGGTCAAGGAAGCCCTGAACCATTTTGTGGGTGTAAAGGCCAAGAACCCTCAAACCATTTGTAAGTCAGACTGTGCCAAGGAGCTTCTGAAAGCCATTCGTTCACTCGGTTGGTTGTCAGACGCATCATTGCCTAGGAGATGGCCTCACAACAGTGTACTTGAAAGACAAATCAGGTCCTTTGAAGAGTCTTGCAGAGGCATGCACTTGCAAGCAGGATTCGCTGTGTTCCCAAAGCTTTGGACCTTGACATGCCAGTACACAGCCGTTTCCATGAGCATCGAGCATTGGTCAAAGGCTTTTGGTTCTGAGTTCAAAGGTGCAGACTACATTTTGGGTCAGTTGGTTTTCTATAGAACAAAGTTTCAAGAGAAGTCAAAACTCGCCCCCAATTCTTCACCAGCCCTAATGGGAGGTTGGAAGCTTGAGTTTGGGCGTCGGTACAAAGGTGTTTTGAGACTTGTGGATTACAACTCCTTGAAGCAAGGTCATGTTTCCATTGTGGTCGCCCCGGATCAAGAGGTTTATGTTCGTGATGAGCGTGTGTTTCCGTTGAGAGATCTCGCAGAGAAGGCATTGAATGACTTCTCGGATCCTGATGTTCGTCAACTCGCTGACGTGGATCCTCTGCCAATTCCTTTTATCGAAGACACCCCAGAGACTAAGTCTAAAGCGCGCAGAGTTTACATCACGTACAGTAGGATGCTGAAGATCGGCCCGACCAAGGGATGCAAAGGTTGCGATGCTGATTCGTCTGCACACAATGCCGAATGCATTGCCCGGTATGAGGAAGCATTCGGTGCTGCTCCTTCGACCCCAGCACCTGAGCCTCCGACCTTCGAAATGCCGGAGATCCTAGGAGACTTGATTGACGAAGAGTACACCCCAACTGTCTTGTCAGAGGCCGAAGAGGATGAAGAGGAGATTGTCCCAGAATGTCCTCCGCCCTCTGATGATGATGAAAATGATCCTGAGGGTGATGAAGCTCGTGTCCATGTAGGCATTAATGCCGTCCTTGCTATGTCTCATGATGCCATTTCCAAGAAAGCGTCAGAAACAATCGTTCAAGAAACGTATGCATCAGCAGTCGCTGCAAGCAATGAGAGCTGTCTAGGAGCAGCTGCAAAGCCTGTGCGTCTGCACAGCCAGATCCACAATTCCCCAGGTGGAAAGATTTTGTTTGAATTTGCCTGTGCTTCAGACTCAGCGCTCGGTAGGATTGGTGAGGAGCTTGGAGTTCAAGTTGTAAGACTTTGTAAGGAACACATAGATCTTGCAAGTAAGGCAAACATCGACCAACTTGTTGAGCAAGTGAAAGCCATCCCTGGTTGTTCAATCCATGGTTCCATTGAGTGTGGTCCCTGGAGTGCTTGGCAAAGGTTGAATGAAGCAAAGAACCCAAGATTGTCCAACATCCTTCGAGAGAAACATAGGGAAAGTGTTTCAATGATGCATTCGTTCATCAGGGTTGCAAACCATGTTCTTGATAATGGTGGTTTTGTGTCTTTTGAGTGGCCAAGGTATTGTTCAGGGTGGATGAGTGAACCCCTAGCTTCCTGGATCACAGAAAGGCAACTGCTGTCTGCCACTTTCGATGGCTGCACCGTAGGAATCACTGCCAAGGACAACAAGCCCGCTCGAAAGCCGTGGAGGTTTGTCACGAATAATAAGAGGTTAGCTGATTCTTTGGGAATGTTGAAGTGCACGCATGACAAGCATGCACCCCTTGAAGGGAAATACACTCGAAACTCAGCTTTCTACCCAGAGCCTCTTTGTCAGATCATGTTGCATGCTTTGTTTCCACATGTCATCAATGCTCATGTGTTTTGCATGCCGTGCACACCTCGCGTGATTCATTCACATCGGCAGCATGTTGTCAAAGGGATGCCATGTGTTCCCATTGATGTCCTCATGCATGAGAGTGGATGTAAGGAGTTTGTAACACCAGCATTCGTTCATCGTCTGTTGGAGCGTGCTGAATGGAAGGGTCGCCCAGAAGTTTACCTTGCCATTAAAAGCGAGAAAGATGGTTTGGTTTTGGAAGGGACTTGGATTGAAGATGAGATTAGGTCAAAAGCAGACGTGATCAGGGAATTTCCCAATGAAACACTGCATTTCGGAGCCCTAATGGTGATAGTTAGCATAAAGGGATATGAAAAGAACCCAGCTGACTGGAAGATCAAGGCTCGGATTGTTTTCCGAGGTGACGCAGTCAAGGATCAGGGGGGCTTGAGCGCCATCTTCCAAGATCTTGCTGCTTCCGCTCCGAGTTCAATTGCAGCATTGAACACAGTGATAGCCTTTTCAATGATTGAGGGAAACACTTGTTCAACATCTGATTGCGTCCGGGCCTATATTCAGTCCGCACTCGGCACGAAGCATCGAACATTTGTGATGCTACCGCCTGAGCTAGTGCCAGAGTCCAAGAAGCACATCCACATGCCTTGCGCGCAGCTGTACAAGAGCCTTTATGGCCATCCAGAGTCGTCAGCGCACTGGCAGGCCCACCTTTCCAGAATCTTGCAAGAAAAACTTAACGGTGTCGAGTTCAGTGAGATGCCCTCGGTTTTTCGGTTCGGTCGTTCTCTAGTGATGAGCGTCTATGTAGACGACCTCACACTCTCAGGAGTAGCCTCCGAACACGAAGGATTCTGGAAAACCCTCAAGCAGTATATAAATTTAGATCCACCGTCAGAATATGGAAGAGTCTTAGGACGAAACCATAGGCTTGTGTGGTTTCAAGGGAGCAAAGCAGTGGCCTTAGAATCATCTGACTTCGCAAAACAGTGCGTTGAACTGTATGAAGAGCTGGCGAAAACGCCGGTGAAGGCCTACTCCTCGCCCTCATGGGACGATGGAGCCCTGATCCCCGCTGATGACGAGGTAAAGGGACAGCTCTCGCCACATTCGGCCAAATTAATTATGAAGTTGATGTGGCTCTGTCGCATTAGCAGGCCAGACGTCACATTTGCTGTCACTCTGTTGGCGAAACACATTACGGTGTGGTCGGCCAACGATGATAAAAGAGTCGCAAGACTCATTGGGTACTTGCAAAAGACCCATGAATACTCCCCGATAATGTGCATTCGTGATCCGCCAGAGCAGTTGAACTTGTCTCTGTATTGCGATGCCGATTTCGGTGGTGACATTAAATCTATGCGTTCAACCTCTGGATTCATCCTTGCAGTTGCGGGTCCCTCCAGCTTTGCGCCAGTGAGTTGGAGTTCCAAGAGGCAGAGCGTGGTTGCAAGATCGACCACGGAGAGCGAGTTCGTCTCACTTTCCAGTGCCTTAGTCTCCGAGGCGATTCCTACCTTGGAGGTATGGCAAGCGTTGATCCCCGGAATGACCCTGAAGGTTTTCGAAGACAATACGGCCGTGGTCTCGATTATCCAGAAAGGTTACTCCAATAAATTAAGGCATTTGAGTAAAACCCACCGCATAAATGTGGCCTCAACTGCCGAAACAGTCAACAATGCTGATGACATCACAGTCCAGCATATCGAAACGACTCAGCAAAAGGGTGACGTGTTTACTAAAGGATTACCGTTGTCCAAATGGGGAAATGCCTTGGAGTTGTTGCAGTTCTCCCTGAGTCCGCTCCCGTCTTATGATGCAGGCAGGAGCTCGCATGACTAGAGCTAAGCAATAGTCAGCCGCAGTTCAAAGCTAAGCTAGATCTGCAATGAATGAAATGGTTAAAGCTAAGCGATAACCAGCAGCAGCTTGAAACTAAGTTAGAGCTGCCTCGAATGAAAGTCTAGACAATGCATGCAGCACAGTGCTACTGCCCAGCGTAGCGCCAAACTTGCATGAAGGGTGACTGGCTGCTTGAAGCGCCGCTCCCAAGTTGCCGTTCGTAAGCCTGTTAGGTTAAGCTTGCAGTCTTTCGATAGGAATTGTCAGGTCACAGACGGTTCAAGCAATGAAGCGACTGTCTCAGACCTGGAATACTAGCTGTACATATGTTCATCTCACTATGAGGGGGGACTTGAAGTTTCCTGTGTAAAGTACACCTCATATGTATAGACACAGTTCATGAACATTTGTACTTTTGGCTCAAGTGATAAAAAGGCCGCAGCCGCTGCCACTTCGCGGACACGGCGGTCTTTACTGAGAGTTGGTTTCTTGTTGTTGTTTGTGTTGGTGTTCCGTTTTTCAACGGTTCAAGTATAATATATATATATATAATATATACAGTATATGATATATGTAAAAACAGGATGCATGGTCCTTTTCGCAGAGGCAGATTCTACACATGAGGGTTTGTGGATCGTCTGACCGGTTATGTGATATTTATTCAACGTTGAGGTCGTTGAGCAAAACCAAAGAAATCTCAATAGCTTCACGATTCTTCTCGATTCCCCATGGCATTCTGGACATGATTCTTCGTTCTGTGAGCGGTGTGTGGCGTCCATACTTCAGACCTCCTGGCCGTGTGGACATCGAGTCCGTCGATGCGAGGCATCACCAGGTAATCCCTATGGATCCACCGTACCGACCCGCTTCGGTACGACTGGGACTTTCCAAGAAAAGGTACGACCGGTGACTGGTGCCTCCGATCAACGTACCTCAGAGGGTATGTGGATCCATATAGGGAATGAAACCATATGTTCCGGTAGCCGTGACGTACTGAGCACGGCGAATGGGCACCCCAGGCGAGAATGGCGAGCGACATGAGGCCTCTGCGGGCGGCGAGCACAAGGAAGATGGTCTCAAGTTTCCGTTTGGGAGGGTGTTTCATTAGCTTGCCCCATCCTGCTCCAAACCACCCCCAGGTTCTGATTTGTGTTGCATATGATGGTGAGCATCTATATCGTTCTGATTGAGAAAGACATCCCCGAAATTGGAATATCCAACTCTTTCGATATAGCACAAGACCTGATAGTCCTCCAACAGTGCAGGATTTCTAGCAGCAGTTTCCTTTTTGGGTCTAACAGCTCCTACTTGAGCCAACATGATGACTATGTCAACCCACCTTCCCCCGAGTATGAAACACAGAAAAACATACCTTTTTGAGCCATTGGGCAGGGACGTTTTCAAAGCACATGTAGCAGGACACCACAGGCTTGGAATAGCAATGATGGGTTACGCTCAGAGATGGCTGTTATAACAACAAGGTACAGCTTCGCGCCGTCGAGCGAAAGCAACATTTTTTCGGCCGCCTGCGTGGTGCCAAAACGATCTCTCCATCTTTTTGGTGCGAAAGAAGGATGAAACGAATAGGTTCGGGCGCCGCGCCCGTTCGCCTACTATCCTCGATCCTGACACTGTTTTCATACGGTTTCTGCCGTGTTCTGCCGAGCTCCGTGCCCCTGTCACATGCGCGGTGCATAGGAGCATGGCGAGGACGGACGGAAGGATGGGCAGGACGGTGAGGCCAGGGCGGGCGGGCAGGGCAGGGCGGATCAGGTGATTCTTAAAAGTTTCCCGAACTGGGTCATTCTCCACACCTGGGGAATATGAATATGTCATAATATGTCTTGTTTTTTCAGGTTCCTGGACAGCAAATCCAAGGTTGGGGTTTGGAGGGCCTTTGCCGCTGATTGGGGTCAAGTAGCTGCAGTAGCTCCTTCGTGGACCCGGTGTGCCATCTACCCAAGCAATTTCAAGCAATCAGTACCCTTTCTAGACTGCGGTCCTTGACATAAGTAACACTTCCATGTCATGGATGGTGGAAGCGACTATGCCAATCTTTTTGAGTTTGAGGATCCTCATTCCAATAGGATGAGATGATTGGCCTTGAAACTAAACCACATGAGAGTAAGTAGTGAGTAGAACGCATCATTCCCAGGACTCCCCCACCCTGATCACGAAAGCTAGCACCAGCTAGCTGGAGTTGTTCTTGCTTTGGTAAGTGAGGGGCTGGAATCCTCGAGAGCGCCGCATCGCGTGAACACTTCATATATAGGTTCCCCCCCCCCTCCCCCCCGGAGGGTTCAACTCCTCCCTGGGATGTCTCTGGGACGTGTGTATTTCCGCTGGCCTGACTGTTCCGGGCAGCACCCCCTCCATGCTTATATCTTCTTACCTTTCTCGGTCGGATATCCACCGCTTCACCCTGCCCTGCTAGCTTTCGTCACCAACCCTCGGCCTCAAGTGGGTTTCAGATTTGAGGTCTAGTGAGTCTAGTGGTTTCAGAACCTTTTTAGTGGTTTGCTTGTTTTGCTGCTTGGAAAGAGAATGTTGATGTGTCCGCAGCTTCTTTCGTTTAGTGTGGAGCCCAGACAAGAAGCCATTCTGTGCAAACCGTGCTGTGGAAGAGCTGATGAATCCGACGTCCGACGTTCGCTGTGTGTGGTGCGAGCACTGTGGTGATGATGGCGCACTCAGATACTGGTGCGCGCTGTGGAAGAGGTTACTTGCCACGCCTAAGACTGTCCCAGCACTGGGCTCTGAGTTTAGTAATTTTAATTCCATGCAGACTTGGGGGCCAAGATCTAATGAGAAGAATTCTGAATGTGCACAAGCTGAGCAATACATGACCGAATGAGAAATAACCGACAGACTCAAAATTCAAACATGTGGAAAGAAGAGGCGGGACCCCGGGACACCTCAACCCGAAATTTAATGAATAGTTTTGTGGGTTGGCTTAGGCTTGCGCAGGGTGTGGGCGAAGGCCTTGCCTTACATAATATGTTGCTTGCGACGCTGGCGACATACATTAGTACAATTCAAGAGAGAGTGCATTTTGTTTATGAGAGATCATGTGTTCGATGAGAGGACGACACAGATTAATGCAGATGTTTTGGCCCAAAAAGGCTTCTACGGAGTCGAATCGTTCCCACTCCAGAGGCTACTCAAATAGGTGTATCTTTATTATCCTCTTTATTATCCATCCTTAGATTCGTTGCATGCATTAAAGCTACAAACCCAGACGATGCATCGATGCTTGGGAGTGTTCGGCTTTTGGATATTCCTTCAAAAGCGCAGCTTGAACCATGGGTGCACGGAGAAGATCCTGGATGGAAACTGGTGTCAAATGAAGACATCTTTGACAACGAAGTGTTGAGAAGATTAGGCAGCATGCCTTTGCTTGTGAGGACTTATCCTGCAGGGTTGTGGATCGACATCACAAAAACCTTGCAGCATCCAGGATCTCACGGACAAGTCTTTGAACGACTACGCAGTCTTTCTCGGCGTGGGAGAACCAACAAAAGGACAGAAACACTGGCAATAGTTGCTGATTTGCTGGGTTTCGAGCCACTCAACAAAAAGACGGATGATGAAGTGTACAATATTTGGTCAAAGCAGTGAAGCCCGAGTTCCAGTTACCCCCGCCTATTGGCGGGGGAAAAGTGGTAATGGTACCATAAAAGGAAGCCAATTGTGTGAAGGCATTTATGGGAGCGCTATGTGCACGCCTTTGCGCATGGAACTGGCAGCGTTGGCCGTTTTTGTGAGTTTGTGCACTTTTGCGCCTCCAACTCGGCCGGCACGGTTGCCGTCAAATTGGAGGATGGCACAGAAGGTCCTTGCAAATGCCGTCAAATTCGCTAATGGTCCAAGTGAGTGGGAATTTTACTTACTTCAAAGGCAGCTTCTTGTGAAACACATTGAGATGAAATGCTTCTTGGAATTGTTTCCAAAAGCACCAAATCGTTTAGAGCAAAGTGTGTCGGACCTGACTTTCTTGGAAGCTTGTTCAGAAATACTGAAAATGGTGACCACCGTTATTCTTTGCGTGTTTTCGAGTTGCGGAAAACATGAATCGTCACCAACGAAACTGCCTTGAACACTTGATCTGTGCTCGATGGCAGGGATTGCCGGTATTGCTGCAGGGAGGTGAAGCTACGAATTTGGAGTTTGCGCTGAAGGCACGGGAAAGAGGAAGAGGTATCTAAAAAAGGGACCAACGAAAAGCAACAATAGGGATTAAACAAAAACAAGGGGTCAACTTTATAGCAACTAAAAAGTAAATAGGTATCCAGAAAGCAACAAACAGGGATAGAAAGAAAGAAAGAAAGGAAGGAAGGAAGGAAGACAGACAGACAGACAGACAGAAAGACAGAAAGAAAGAAAGAAATACAAAGAAATACAAAGAAAAGAAAAGAAAATACATAGCGAAATAAAGAAAGAAAACACCAAAGAATAGAAGAAGGAACAAACGAAAGAAAGAAAGAAAGAAAGAAAGAACCAAAGAAGAAAGAAAAACATACAGAAATAGAAAACACAGAAAGAGCCAAAGAAAGAAAAAAAGACAGAAAAGAAAGAAGGATTCACGTTGATGACATGAGTTGCATCAGGAGATCAGCCGTTTCTTGGCACGCAATCATGTCATGGATGTGACGCCAACTGATGTGACCTTTGTGTTCATGGGGTCATTGTGTCACCAAGGAGCCTAGAGGAAAAGCTACGCAGCAACTCTTCATTGTTCAGAAACCGAAGAGTAGTTCACGGTTCGTTTATTGACAGAAGCGACCAGAAGATGAATTTCTGAAGTTGACTATAATGGAAACGGATGGCCAATTGCTACTTGTCAAGCAAATGGAGACTGGCGTGACTGGAATTCAAAGTGTGTGCCAGCACCAAGGTGTTGCGTAAATAATCGCCGCCTCCAAGTGTCAAGGAGACATGCCGCATTTCACGTTTAGTTTGTTCACCAAAGTCAAAGAGTTTATTTACTGCTGGCTTAATTGTTTCGATTTTGTATTCCTTGCTGGCACAACTCTTATTATGGTCCGGATCATACCAACACACATTCTACTTCATCTCTGCGAAGACACTCCGAGAGGCAAGGAAGAAATCAAAGCAATCTATAAATTTGTGTGGTTTCACTTCTCCCCAGACTACTGCCTTCCTATGGAACTGGGACAGTGATGGCGTTAGCTACTCGTCGAGAGTTCAAGATACTTATTCTCCTAACAGTTTACTGCACCTGTCACATGTCACTATGGAATCGAGCACTATTGTTGACAGACAGAGCCATTGGATACTATAGGAATATAAACACAGACGTTACCACTAACACTTGGAGTTCAAGGAGTTGATGTAAAACAAACAAGTTGCGTATATATTGGCTTCCTGGAATGCAGCGCTGCTTCTTAGGAGTATCTCTTGTTTTGGCTGCGAAAGCATTTCCACATGTTTTTCATCATGTGCGAAAGCTTGCCTAGCCATTATGTGTAGAATCTTTCTGTGATCTACTGTGTTTCATTTGCGAATGCATGTTGCGAAGTCCGTGTTTTTCGTGCATGTGTTTTATAGAATAAAGCTAACACCAAAACCTGGCGAAGCGAAGCCTTTCGCGAAAGCACCTCTCTTCGCGAGGTATGGGTACCTAGTGGTTGTCCACCAGACCACGCAAAAACGTAACTATAAACAAACAAAACAAAACACTGCTCCAATGCTCATATAAGGTGTTTGGAGTGTATGCTGGAAAAGGTGTGTATTGTCCATTTGCGAGCCAAGGTCATCCGAACTTTCGGCCAGGAACACTCTCAGCAATATCCTTATGTTGTTTTATTTCGCGCGCTGATGTCTTGCAGTTGCTGCTGTTGTGCTAATCAAGAAATGGCATCTTTTTCAGTCGGCTGACAGCTAAGCAGTAATGATATTATCAGACGTTTAGGTATATATGTCCTTCTTTCACATTGTTATCTTTTTTACCGGGGAAGACAGGAATGGAGATGACGAAAGCTTGCAGAGGGGGTGAAGCGGGGGATATCCGACCGAGAAAGGTAAGAAGAGCGGTGACAAAAACGAGTGCGGCGATACCCATGCCCAAACTCACCCGACTGAGGTAGACAGCCTGCACTGTAGAGCCTACAAGGTACAAAAGGTCAACGGCCTGGCGGCCTGGATCCTCTGGTGCCCACCGCCCACCCTCCCGGGCGAACAAGAACGCAAACATTTGATCGCTACCAAGCGAGCAACGACCTTCTTTGATGACTTTCTGGGCACAGCGGTGCTTTTATTTGGCTTTAGCAGAGACACGGACCATCGGAGCGTACCATCGCCAGGCTGGTGAAGCGACTGAAGCATCTCAAGGCCAAGCGCCCGAAGCATCCCAGGACGAAATTGGGAGATGGGAGCAACCACACCGCGGCAGACGATCCCACGGATGAGTTCACCTCTGACTTCGGCCCTTGTCCTCATACCAACCCAGTGGTTTTCAGAGTCCAGGTGGGTTTCTTCCAGGGTGTACGGCGTATGGGCCGGTGGGAGCAACGTTGGGGGTGAGGAGCAATCGGGTGAACGAGTCCGGTGAACTACCCTCGTCCGCGTTGGAACAGGAGTTGAAACGAGCAAGGGGGGTTGAACCGAGGTAAAACGTCATAAGGAGAGTTGCGAAATTCGGGAGGTTGGACGTCCGAAATGCGCCCGCATGCGCTTTGGAATCCAGTGCGTGAATCCTTGAGGCTTTTTTGGGTTCCGCAAGGCAGGTGGCGAAGGGGCGCTGATTGCAGCAATACAACGTCCACTTTCTTGCGCAGCTGACAGGAGTCACTTGCAAATCCAGTTTGTTCATCCAGAATTTGTGGTGATGGATTGATAAGCACCACCCGGGCTTTTAGCACAGTGCCAGACATTTGTTCCAGGCTTTCCAAAAATTTAACAAACAATATACAATATGTACCCGCAATTTGTTTTTGAATTTCTTTAGGCATCCCATTCGCCACCATCCTGCCATCCCATGCTAGGCTTAGGGCATCACACTCTCCAGGTTTCCTTCTTCTCCCCGCGAGTCGAGAGGAGAAGCGTTACGTCGAGTGCGAGGAGGATGCGCCTGAGGAGACGCGCGAGCTGGTGCCGCCGGGCACTTTCTCAAGCAGTTGGAGCTTGGCCACGCTGAACGTCATGGTGACCGCCGAGGGCCGTCCCTTGGGCTGAGCGAAACGACGAGGGAGAAGCGCCGCCCGGGGTGGTCAATCCCTGGCAGGTTGGAAGGTGATGTGTGATTTTTCCCGACCTGGTACAACCCTCCAACCTGGGGACATATATTGGTATATATCTATATATATATATATTGGTCAATTTTTTTAGGTTCCTGAAGCAAACCAGCAGCTAGTCTGTTCATTCTTGGTGGGAAGAACACCCAGCCACCCAGCTTGGACGGTCAGTTCAACACCGGACTTGGACCGAAGCACGGAAGAGGGAAGAGGGAAGAGGTAGGGATTTTCAAGGTTTTTGCATGGTCATAAGAGGTCATACGTCATGGTCATAAGTTAGTTTGTAATTTTTTTTGTTGACCAAGAATGAGTCATGGTCATAGTTTTTAAATATAACCCAAATCCCCCAAATCAACCAAGGAGGTGTCTCTCTCTCTCTCTCTCTCTCTTTCTTTCTCTCTCGTGTCCATCGTGTCGTCACTTGGGCATGGACCCCAAGTGACTAGGATGGACACGACAGGGGACCTCACCAGAACAGTAGGTCCAGTTGTTCCAGATCCGCCCCCCATGGGACTGCCATATGTGGGCATGAAGAAACATCACTGAGATGGAAAGGCCCCATCATCATCTGAAACCTGGTCATAGGATAGGTACAGATGGCTTTTCAGGACCAGTGGGCAACTCACTCGTGGACATCAGGATCACTCGTCACAAGAAGTGGTTGTCTGGGTCGCTCATCCAGGCTCCTTCGCTTAGATCCACAGTCGCTCCTTCACCCGAGGGAGAGAGAATGGCAAGGGCACACAAGCTTGCAATCCATGGATCAAAGACCGTGGAAGGAACAAGGACTTCCTGGAACAATCGTGGAAGTGGAACACCGCCGGTTTGTAGAGGAACATGCTCATCCAATTGGCCCTGTGAGGTTATATTTCCACTACTTTGTGGGTAAAATCCACAAGTATCAGATCCATCTACTAGATTGATCTGCGTCTTCATTCAGGATTTGCCCCGTCCACAGTTGCTCCGACCTCGACCAAGGCGTGCTGGTCCCCTTAACCGACGCTGGCCTCGGTCAACTGCTGTGCGGCGCCAAAGCCACGGCTGGCCTCAAAAGGGGGCGATACCTCTTCGAGGCGCGTGAACTGAACCGCGTTTGTCGGTTCGGTGAGACTGGGTGGTGTCAGAATGTTTCAGACCCCTTAGGGCTCCAGTCCTGCCTCCCCAGGTTCGGTATGACTGGACCCGAACATGGCACCCACCCCAGTCCCACCTTCGAAACGAAGCTACGACCGGGGTGCTAGGGAATGTAAAACGTGTTCAACCTTGACTTGAGATGATTGATCCCACTGGCTACTTGTCATATTTTGCGAGTTGGAACGTGAAACCACCAGTCAAGGTAGATGTAGACTATGGCAGACCTACAGCGGCGCCCGGTGATTTCTCTCCACCAAACCTTCCCACTACTCACGAAAGCTAGCCTTAGCTAGCTGGAGTTGCTCTTGCTTTAGCAAGTTAAGTGACGGGGTGGACGCACCTCAGAAACCTCAAATGATTGATTAAATCAATCTTATGGACCCCCCCCCCCGCGGTTCGACTCCCCCCTGCGCGCGGTGAGCGGGACCACCAAGCAGCTGCAGCACACCAAGCATCTGCAGCGCCCAGCACAGCAGCGGCAGCAGCAGCAGCAGCAAACCCAACGCCGCGGCAGCAGCAGCCGCAGCAGACCACCCAGCGCCAGCAGCAGCAGCAGCAGCAGACGACCCGGCGCCTGCAGAGCACCCAGCGCAGCAGCGCCCAGCGCAGCAGCGGCAGCAGCAGCACCAGCAGCAGCAGCACCAGCAGCAGACCACCGGAAGCCCGGCTAGCTTTCGTTCACCCCCTCTGGCCTCAAGTTCTTTGTCGCTCACTTGCTGGAGGGGTTCAAGTGCCTTGCTCAGGGGCACAAGTTGACCGCAGGACAGCTTCAAGTTGACCGGTTGGCGTGAAAGAGTTCAGTGCTTTGGGCCTATCCTACCTGCAACAGTCAGGAAACCATGATGACTATGACTATTTTAGAGCAGGGCCTTTGCTAACCATCATCATTCACGGTTATTGGTAATCATCAAATGCTAGCGCAAACCAAGAGGTACACGGACATTCGAGCCCAAGCGCGAAAGACGATCACCCTCCACTTTCTTTTTTCTGGTCCCGTCTCAGCCCTGGGGTTTGGTGCCAACATCCCAGGTTCCAGACATGTGAACGCCAACCAACTTGGGGTTGCCTCCTCTAAACTGCTTGTACTCGTAGCTCCTGAGCGGAACAAGAACAAGAACAGTACCCATACACTCCATGCATGCCATATATGCCTACATTGACTCCGCAAACCACCACCCCTGGCCGTTTCTCCGCAGTCCCATGGGTCGCGTTTGGGGTATGTTACACGATGTTTGATTGCACCGGGCAACCTAGGACAACCTCAAGAGTCTAGGCAAATCAGTGGTCAACGGTCTAATGAGTCTGAAAGAGAAAGACGAGTAGCGATGCCCTTTGCTCCTAGTAAGGCCAGGGACGCCCCGTTCGGTTCGCGTCCGATGGCGAACGTTTCGAGTCGCGATGCCCTGAGAGGTAAGAAGACATACATGGTAACTATGTAACGACTGTGGTTGATTCTCTTCAGACCATAAGTCATCCATGTCTTACTACCCATGCAACTTCTGATTCGGGACTTCAGTAGTAGGAAGTCATAATTCATAATTCAGACATCACGTCGGACAGCCCGATATTCCTAAACATTTGCTCTTCTTTTGACAGGACAGCCTAGTAGTCCTCTTGGATCCTCCACTTGTCATCACTTGTCCAGTGGTTTCAGAGGTTCGATGGCACGTTTCCCCCAAGATGTCCTGAACCAATGGGGGTCCACTTCAACCACCGACATTGGGGTCTGTGCCATTGGTCCTCTCAATCCACTATAACAGGTGCTGGTTCTCTTGTTTGCACCGACGTCAGCCGCCGCCGCCGTCACACCGACTCCAGGTGAAGGTGCTGGAAATCAGGAGCAGCGGCGGAGCCCGTGCGTGTAGACCCGTGCCGAGCGAGCGGTTGCGCTGTTGCGCCACGTGATGGCCAGGTCGAAAGAGTTATGTTTTGCAACACCTGTAGGCCCAAACAGCCCCCAACAGGTGCCAGTTTCTTGTTTGGGGTGGGGGGGGTGGCTTAGGCTAGAGAACGCGAAGAACCAGGCGAAGCACAGGTCAAACAGGAGGGCTCTCGTTCTATCCGGGCGCCCATCAGATGGTCAGAGGTTGTCCCTAGACCCATCGCCAAGCCGCTGTCGAAGTGTCCAGAAGTGCGGGTCATGGATGGCCACTTCCACTCGGTGCAAGCAACATATTTAAACTTGAGGAGACATAGGACAACCATGGCAAACCAATTAGGAAAAACGATGCCAAGCATAGGAAAAATAGCAATCCGTTCTTAGTTCCGTTCTTTTCCCTAGTTGTGGCACTCGTTTAAAGGATAATCAAAGTCGTAAACAATGGAACAACAAAGGGAACAATTAGAAACAAATTAGGTTAATTAGACAATTAGGAGATGCGTTCATTACCTACATGCAACATCCCTGTTCCTGTTTTTGTTCTCTCTTTGTTTTTTTTCGTTTGTTTGTCTGAAATGTTTCCTATTGCTTCCTAACGTCGTTTCACATAGTCCTATTTTTTCACATTCTTATTGCCAATTCTATGATTTCGCTGTGTCCAATCCCGAGCTTGATTTGGATCAAGTCTACAGTCTACAAGGGTCAGTTCTTCACCATCCCTAGTCCTATCCGTCTGGTCTGGTGACATCCATTCAGCTTGGCGCGGCGCGGAGACATGACTCGGGGAAGTTGGGCGTTTGTGGGTTCAAGTTCAACAGACCCCAGATCTCCTGTAGGATGCTTTTGTTCTACCCAACAGACCCCAGACCTGTAGGTGCATTGGTCTTACCCAAAGCGAGACACACCACCGGCGCCAATCCGCGCGGGACCTCCTCGTTCTTCACACATTGCGTTGAGTGGCGGGGTGCAGGAGCAGCGGGGAGGGCCGCCGGCGACCCAAGCAGCCACTCGACGGCAGTGTTGAAGGGCTTTTGCAAGGACACCCGTTTGTAATTAGACTCTTGATGGATCAACAAACGGGTGTCAAACAAGAGGATTCTCGTTTTGATGGATCCTTTGTAGACTCTTGTTTTGATGGATCAACTCGCCCAAAAACGAGAGGATTGCAAAAACCTCTGACAACATGGAGGGGCAGTATGGAGGGCAGGGATCGAACGGGATGCGATAGACTTCCGGTAACAGTGAGTCAACAAGAACATCACTCCTTTAGAGATGGAAAGACCTGCAACTTCCGACCCCATCATCCACTGAAACCTGGTAATGGGATATATTTATGATACCCAACTCAATTTGATCATCTACTAGGCCCAGCCCGAGCTCCGTTCGGTGCGCGACCTCCGAATCGCTCCGGTTCGGTTCCCGCGAGGGCCTCGAGCGGCGTCGTTCGGATCGGCCGCCGGAGCCGTGCGAGGCTGGTGGCGCTGGGCTTTGCGACGCGCTCGGCGCCGCTCTTCCTGGGCGACGGCCGCTCGTCCGCGGGGGTTCGACCGACGACCGAAGGAGCCGGCGGGAGGACCCGGATGGATGCCGTCAGGAAGATCCAAGCCAGGTAGAGCCCAGGCTGAACTTTATTCCCAACACTCAGGCATATAGTCCACGATCGATCTTGAGGGGTTTCTCGTTTCGATAGATTGATAGATTGAGATCGATGCATTGCTTTCAAACGATCGTCGCTGGAACGGCAACAACAGCAACACAAAGAACAAGACTCAACAATTTACTGTACACACAAAAACTGGAGCCCCAACCGTAGCTTTGGCCAAAAGGCAGTGACATAGCCTAAACCTCTCCTCATTTGCAATACTATTGCTAGCAGTCGTACCGGCAGTAGCAATAGCAGGAGCAGTAGTAGGAGCGGAGTAGGAGCACGAGTAGTAGTAGCAATAGCAGTAGGAGCAGTAGTAGCAAGAATAGTAGTCAGTAGTAGTAGTAGTAGTAGCAGTAGTAGTAGTAGTAGTAGTCGTAGTCGTAGTCGTAGTCGTAGTAGTCGTAGTAGTAGTCGTAGTAGTAGTCGTAGTAGTCGTAGTAGTAGTAGTCGTAGTAGTCGTAGTAGTAGTAGTAGTAATAGTAGTAGTAGTAGTAGTAGTATTGGCAGCAATAAAAACTATTAGCACTAGTAGTAGCAGTAGCAGGACGAGGAGGAGCAGCAGGGGCATGAGCAGTAGTGGCCGTCCCCGTCCTCGCTGTCATGTAGCAACTTGACAATCGTAGTCAGTCGTGGTTTGTCGGCCACAGCAGCAGGAGTAGAAGGAGGAGGAGGTGGTAGTAGCGCGGCAGTGGCACGGCCCAAGGAGGGTATAATATGTACTGTATAATGAACTTCTATAAGTCTACAAGTGTTTTGTTTGGGGGGAGGCCATCAGCTGTACAGGAACCCTGCCTTACCCAAACACCAACACAAACACGTCCAAAGCACCGACCCTGTTCTCTCGAAATCATCCAGCTTTGCACCAAAGACATTCCCAGACGCGACCCATGGGACTGCCAGGTCGGACTGCCGAGAAACGGCCAGGGGTGGTGGTGGTGGTGGTGGTGGTTTGGGGGGTCTTTCTGGGGCGGCAGTCCTATTCGAGTCCCAGACAGGTCGTGCATGGGAATTGTTCCTTTCACGCCCCCAGGTGATCAAAGCATCGGCTTCGACACCGATGGCGCCTTGGGACGGATCTCTGAACGACTGGAGGTTGAACTGGTGAGAGAATGACTGGACACTAGTGATGGCCTCCACCCTACTAGCAGCATTCTACCAGTTGATGTCAACACTGGATCAAGAACCCCCGCCACCCCTAGAAGGTCTAGACGGTCCTGGACCCAAATATGGTGGAAACCCACTCCCAGAAAATGTGGATCCGGGAATTTGCCAATGTTGTCTCCAAGACCGATCTCTTTAAAAAGGACGGATCCCAAAGCGAATCTGCTGTTTTGATTTTGAGGAATCCATGAATGGGCAAACCGCCAAAGGCATGAGCCAGCATGAGAAGAGAAAGGACACGTACTTAGCAATAGAACCATAGGATGAGGGATTGGTGAAACAAACCATTGAAGAGGGTGAAGAAAGGATAAACATCCGCAGACAGGTGGAGGGGGGTTCTGGGTACCCCAAGAAATGCGCTCTTTTTTTTGGAGAGGGAAACGTGGGCCAGAAGAGTTCTTGAAAAGGGTTGGATGCGGCTCGCATTGCAGGAAACGACTGGGCCACACTTATTGGGGGGGTTCCACCCTAATAAATCCATCCCAAAGACACTAGGACCTTATTAGGAAAACCTTCGGCGGTGTAGGTGGTTAAAGAAGTTTGCTGTGATGTTTGTTTCCGCCCCGGAAAAAGCTGGACCCTGAACATGCTAAGTGAACCATAAGTGATCATAATAAGCATGCTAAGTGAACATGCATGCTAAGTGAACAAGCATACATAAGTGATCATAAGTGAACCGTTTGGTCATGCTTCTCTTCTTCGAACCCCGCCGCTCCACCGAACCCGCGCCGTTCGGACCCCGGCCGCGCATCCGATCATCCGGATTCTACGAATTGGGTGAGAAATCCCCAAACCTGGGAAGCAATCATATTCATCCAGGTTCCTGGGAGCCACTGTCTTCCAAGTCACTGATCAACCACGGCTGAACAGCGACCGCGGATCGCGGTGCTCCCGGCGCCTCGCGGCGCAGACGCGACGCCCGCGACCGGCGCGGAGGCTGCTTCATTGTGAACGGGCGGAAATCCTGGATCGATGGCATCAATGATCGCATCACTGTGGAGACTCGGTCTCGATGGGACCCCGAACGCAGTGGGTGAAATCGACGGGGCATATAGCTGCGTTTTTTTGGGGGGTTTGGAAGCCAGCAACACCAGCCATCTCCCCATGTTCCACCACTAAAAACCTTGCTTTTAGGCTCTATAATATATGTTTGATAGTATGTTCGATGGGCCCCAAGTATCAGAATATAGAAACATATATGTATTGTTTTTGCTTTTCCGGGGTTCTATTCACATATGCCATAAATGCGATAAAGCCATCAAACCAGCCGCATGGTTGGGTTGACATGGCCAGCCGCATGAGTCTTCTGCAATGGTGGGATCCGGCCGAAATCCCTTTACTTCAAAAGGGGATGGGGAAGATGGATGTTGGTCATGGATGCTTGGCTGCGCAGCTCACAGCTCACAGCTCAGGACCGTCAATTGGTCTTGGGCGTGGTGCTGAACCTGTTGCCTGATAGCCCGAATAGCAACACCTTGAGCCTCTTCGTGAATGGCGTGCGCATGGGAAAGCCGCAAGCACTGCCTGAAGAGCTCAAGGACAAGACTTTGTGCCTGGGATGGTCAGCCAACAAGATCACCATCCACCTGCGTCCCCCATGGACATCGTTGTGGTTTGGAGGTTCCCCAGAGTGGGGCGTCTTGAAGGTCTGTTGAGGGTTGGCGTTCCAACCAGGAGCGTGGGGAGGCGGCAGACTAAAAGGGGAGGCTACTCGACGTCCATGTACGCCATGAGCGGCCTCGGTGTACGCCATGTGCATGAGTTCGTTCAGCTTCGTTCGGCCACGAATTCGATTCGGGTGGCTTTGGGTGCGCTTCTCTACTTCTTATGCACTCAGATGACCGGCAGGCTCGGTCACGTTAACGAGCACAGAGGCAACAAAAAGGCTGTGTTACACTTGGCAGGGAGGTGGAAGAGAGGTGGTGCAGGGGGAGGTGGAACAGTGAAACGGCCCACGTTTGCGTGCCATAACCCTGTGAAAGCACTCACTAGTGAAAGTGGCACCGGCAGTTGGTGGACTGTGAGTGGTGGTGTTGGAACGTGTGGGAATTTGCATCGTGTTTCATCCCTTTTGGGGAATGGTTCACACATGTCAACACAATTCACTGGAATCTTTGGGTGGATGGTGAACTCACCGTTCTCGTTGGGTCCCAGCCCTTCATGAGCGGATCTGAGGTACCCCACCATGAACTTCAAGAACGCCACTCGGATGGTCTTGACGGAACCGTTTTGACGGACGCGTCCTGAAGGTGTTCAAGAACAGAAGTCTGGTTTGGCTGATCAGCGTGCTTTATATATTCCCTATTGGTTAGACCCCCAAACCCGGTCTGCGTGTTGAGTCCTTATTGGACCTCCCATTTTCTACTCCGGCATGTTACTTGAGTTCTTGAATCTGGAGGTCTTCAGACCAAAACTTGAATCAACCACTTTATGTAGTCTGTCCTTTTTGAACAAATCAGGAAGTGGTATGGTCACTCCTAGGGATGTTGAGGAACCTGGTGACGTTTGCAGGTGTCGGGTTCGTGGGCCTATGGGTCAATCCTCCTCTGGAACCATGTTTTTCTCCTCTTTTTTCGGTTCCTGAACAGCAAATCCAAGTCATAGAGATGTTGAGACATCGTTTCTGAGTATGCAATCTCAAAAGAACCGCTGAAGTCTGCCGTTGATGCTTCCAGGGTGCGGGAGAGGGCTCAAGACTATATAACTATAGAAGACTATAGATAACTATTGATGGTATAGGTACCATGATGGTAAATGGTTTGCCTGGCTATGAGGTACCTGCCGTAAAAAGGAAACCATTTTGATTTTACATATGTTTGACCGCGCCTTTTGGTCACATAGTTAGGCTCGGACAATGCCAAAACAGACAGTTTTCGATGCTTATAGTTTATACCGCGAAGATGGATCAAACTTTGGTCACGAAGACGATAAACATTGACAATTTTCTAATTTTCGAAGTTTGACCTTTACCGTTTTGCCGCGCGATTGGTAAAAAGGACTGGCCGCCACCCGGGCAATTCGGTTTGAAAAGACCATGTTCGATCTTTACCGTTTTCCTGCGCCGCAATAAGTGATTGGCCGACGCACCCTGGCAAACGACCATTCATTGCTGTGTTTTTGCGATCTTTACACCGTTGATCCCTTTTTGACTGCGGAAGTGCCTCGGGGTGAATGGGCCTTCTCAACAACGATTCGTCTCCATTCGAAGATGCCTTTCGCCGAGGTGACTCTTCAGCAGCTTTTTGTGTATGAGACCTTCGGAAACTAGTAGCGATGCACTTGTTTCTAATAGCTTCTTGTTACTACTAGCGTGGCACCTGTTACTACTAGCGTGTCACTTGTTTCTGTTCTTTCTGTTTTTGGGAGGGCAGGGTGGAGCACCAGAGCAGCGGTGACCTTGCAGGTGACCTTGCACGCGAACTTCTCCACCCAGCCCTTTGCCCCGCTCGTGTTCGCGTGCCGGACACTGCAAGAGGCAGCCAAGGACGCCGCACGCCGCGTGTTTGGGAGGGCCGGGTGCTCGGGGATTGGGGTCCAAATTGGGTCGATGAAGCTGGACATAGCTGGAGCGAACGACACGCGAGTGTCGTTGGGGAGAACTGAACTGAGATGAACCGATGCGACGGATCAATGTCAAGTCAGGCAGACACAGCAAGTGTGACCACGAGAACGGAGTGAGGATGATTTGAATGCTTATTTTTCGTGCATGCTGCACGGGGCAATGACAGAAACTCTGTGAATTTGGAGTTTGAAATTGGAGATGTCAGGACCAACCCCCTCCGAAAAACTTTCGGGTTCCATTCCCACGTGTTTCTTGAGAATTGGCAGCTGTTGATGAGTTTACAGCACGTTGCGTGCCGTTCTTTCCCAGGAGGATGTGGAAGTGCTACCAGCATGGGCAGAGAAGCATGAGGAGACCGGGGGTCGGTTGGATTGGAAATTCCGAGTCTGGAGACCTGAGAATGACAAGAAAAGGGATGTTCCATGATTCAGCGCCACCCAGATCGGATGGTTGATAGACCCCCCTGACATCCCCTGACGATCTATTGTCCATCGAATAACCACCCGAACTGGGTGGTGCTGGATGGTTTCCTAAGTGAGTTATCACGGAATTCACGGATGGATGCTTGCCATCCAAGATTCCATGCCCAGACACTCCATGGGACTGGCATAGTGATTTAGATACATTGACCCCTGAAATGCCACCCCAATGAAAGTAAATATGCCTTACATGGGTCGTGTTTGGGATGGCAACTTCCACTCTCAATCGAAAGGGAACTGATCTTCCACACAACTGTTCTAGCCCTATGGATTTGCCCTCTGAGGTACCGTGATCGGAGACACCAGTCGTACCTTTTGCACCTTCTCTTGGAGAGTCCAGTCGTACCGAACCGGGTCGGTACGGTGGCAGTGGATTCATAACCCTGACACGACCCATGGGACTGCCATATATGCCGATCAGTTGGGGTGGTTTTGGGGGTCTTTTTGGGGCGAGTCCTATATGGCAGTCCCAGACAGGTCGTGTCTGGATATATAGGGTAGATGTGTTGTCTTCGGTACTTCGTCAGCTCATTTTTTCGGCTGCAGGTGATCTTCCCAGTGGGCTTGCCCAATGAGGGCACTTGCGCCTCGGCCGTGCGATCACTGGTAGTACTGGTGGTCAAATGCTGTCAGATTCGACACCCAGGATGGTAGAGCTTATGCCGTAGACCAGTACCGTATACCGTAGGCCTGGCAACATGCAACATAACTGCTAGGTGGTGTCTTCTAACCTACTCCCATGAACGCTTCTGAGGGAGAAACACCATGATCCGAAGATATTCTGAGGCCTTTACCTGGATCAGTTTCAGAAGGAGAAGCAGGCGGGGAGCAGAAAACAAGAGCCGTGTCAAAACCCTGGCGACATCACGAAAGCTAGCATCAGCTAGCTGGAGTTGCTCTTGCTTTAGCAAGTCAAGGGCTCGCAGCCTCGAGAATCATGAATCACGTGAAAACTTCACGTGTAGGGGAGGGGCCCCCCCC